TTGGAGATCTTATCTTTATGGTGAAAAGGTTAAACTCAACACCGATCACAAGAGTTTAACCCATGTCATCTCGCAGAAAGATTTGAACCTCCGACAACGACGTTGGCTAGAACTTATGGCTGATTATGACCTGGAAATTGCTTACCATCCGGGTAAAGCAAATGTTGTGGCCGATGCATTAAGTCGGAAGAAGATACTGTCTGCTATCAGAGTACTGTCCTCATCACAGGAGAATATAGCAGAGTTGTCAGCTATATTGGGTCATTTGATAGTTGCAGGGGACGAACAGTTCTCAGATCTGAGAACACGGGTAATTTCAGAACAGCGCAATGATCCAGAACTCATGAAGTACATACAGGAGATTGAACGATATCGTGAGAAAGGATATCAGTTGGATGATGTACAGGCATTGAGACTGCATAACCGGCTTTGTGTACCGAGTAATAATGAGCTAAGACGGGAAATCTTGCAACGGAGTGCCGAGTGAGATTATCTCTGACAGAGATCCTCGCTTTACTTCAAGACTATGGAAGGCTATACAGGATGCATTGGGAACGAAGCTGAAGATGAGTACGGCATATCACCCACAGACGGATGGGCAGTCGGAACGAACCATCCAAACGCTGGAAGATATGTTGAGAGCGTGTATATTGGATTGGGGAATTCCGTGGGATCGACACCTGATGTTGTGCGAATTTGCGTACAACAACAGTTTCCATGCTAGTATCGGTATGCCACCTTATGAGGCGATGTATGGACGACCTTGTAAGACTCCACTATGTTGGACGGAAATCGGAGAACGACGAAATTTTGGGCCTGAAATTGCGGAGGAAACGACTGAGGTTATCCGAAATATCAAGGTTAACCTGAAGGTCGCACAAGATCGTCAAAAGTCTTATGCAGACAAAAAGAGGCGGGATTTCCAACTAGAAGTGGGCGATCAAGTATTTCTAGGGTACAGACAATTCGAGGACATGCAAGGTTCGGTAAAACGGGGAAGCTCAAACCTCGTTATATTGGACCGTATCCAGTAATTGGAAAAGTGGGAGCAGTGGCAGATCGAGTGGAGTTACCGGCAGAACTCGGCAACATACACAATGTATTCTACGTGTCCATGTTACGGAAATATGTGGCAGATCCATCCCACATTTTACGGCCGCAGGAGATTGAGGTCACCCACGATGTTCACTTTCGAGATGAGCCGTTGCAAATCGTGGACTACAAGATGAAGCAGTTGCGGAATAAGGAGATTCCCTTAGTCAAAGTCTTGTGGCGAAGTCAAGGAGTCTCCGACATGACTTGGGAACTGGAAAAGGAGATGCGCGATCATTACCCCCACCTATTTGGTATGTAACTTTCAACTTTAGTTCGTTCGAATTCGAGGACGAATTCATTTTTAAGGGGGGTAGTTTGTAATAACCCATAAATTTAATTATTATTATTATTTTTAAATATATATATACACACACATATATAAAATTCTCTATACTCTAACCGATAAAGAACGACGTGAATTGTTTGGTTTACAATTAGGATTTATATTTATATATATATATATATATATATAACATCACATAACATAAGCGCCTATATATGTAACGTCTAAACTTTATTACATAAAATAAACTATGTATGGATCAAAGGTATAACATATATATATATATATGTATATATATATAATACTAATAATAATGAATAAAAAAATAAAGATGGAATACACGTTACTACTTATCCAAAACACTAGCAATTATTACTCTAGCAAAGACACATATAAACCTAAGTCTAAAAATCTTCCACATACGCCAAGAGAATTGAACTTTACATAGATTATTATTGACACGTACCTAGTCTAGTAATTGTCTGAACATGCCACAAACATATAAAGATTGTTTGATTATCTTTGGATAAAATAATCCTCTAATAATTATTGCATGCAAATAAATATTTTCCTATGTCCTTCTCAATTTCGACATTTCTTCTTTCTCCGATACAAACCAACAAAGAGAGAGGAAACAAACTAATCCATCTCATCAAAAAAAATATATATATATGTGTGTATATACTAATATTCTAATAAACGGGAATTGAAAACATGAATCACTGTAAGCACGCAGCAATCACAATCAAGTCCGTACGACAAGTCGGCCGTACGACAAGTCGCAGGACAGAGTCCGTCAAATCGTCTCTACGCGCACCATGCGTAGGTAAGTACTCCCCATGTGCATAGCACAACCACCTCTCTCCTCGGAATCCATCTACTCCTCAACCACTCAGAATCCGGCATAAGTATCTTTTTATTTCTCCGCCCGAACACATCTCCCCACCCTAGCATCGATGTCACCTCTCGATGCTAGGCGTGTCCCCGCTCCGACATTGATGTCACCATTACCCTTTTGTTTTCAATAAATTCCAAAACTCATAAGTCAATCTGATTAAACTCTCACTTTTAGACATAATATTGAGTTGATCATACGCAAACGTGTCCTTAGGTGGTAAATAACTTGGAGGTGCAAAGAGGAAATAACATCGAAGGCTTAAACATAAAAGTTTTAAGGTGAGTGAATTTGAGTTTAATTCGGAAGTCTATTAACATGGGGTTTTGGGTTTTGAGTGTTTCATGATTGATTGATGGTTGATTCATATTGTAACTGAAATAAGAATTTTTGTGAATTACCCGTAACAAATCATGTGTGCTGGTGTAAATTTGGTGAAAAAGTGAAAAATGTAAAATATACCGAAAATACGGGTCAGACCGGACCCCACGTAGTCTGGACCCAAAATTAATAATAGGTAAGGTTAAAAACCACGGGATGAACCGAACTGGTTATCCGGGCGGACCAGGACCAGCTAAGTCATACCGGAGGTACAATACGGTAGTATGAATGAAAAGACTGAAAGAAAATATATAAAGAAATATAAAATACTACACAAGCGGAAATGCATGTATAGTAAATAAACTATATAAATGCATGTGATCAGGGTAGCTGGCATGGCACTAGCGTTAATTCGGAAGGGTTCGGATTAACGTTTAGCGCGTGATTGTAGAAACGAACGTTTGTGAATGATGGCACGATGTTTGCGAGATTGTGTCCCATCTACGGGCCATCCGATCCGGGTCGGATGCCACCCATATGGGATATAATTGTAAATGTGGTGATAATGTAATCGCGCCAACGTCCGAACGACAGGACGGTTATGGGCACCCCGATGACTTGCGTGGATAGCCGATCGTAGTCGGTACTATTGCGTGACGAGGAACACACGGTTTTTAGAACCGCGCCAACGTATCCGTTAGCGACGGAGCGGACCCCGGGATATGAGTATCCCGAGGATGAGGGCATCACACATACCTGAGATTCGGGCGGATTGTGGTCCCCCGAGGAGGTGGTACGGACTTACTCTGCCAGGTTCGGGCCCGAACCTGACAAGTATTTCCGCGGCGGACGGTCGGCGAGGGAGAGTTGCAGCGATTGGCTCTCTCGTTATAGTCGACGGCGTCGGTTGTAGCCGACGTCAGGTGAACTCCGGTATTGAGAGGTGACATCAATGCCGGAGCGGGGACACGCCTAGCATCGAGAGGTGACATCGATGCTAGGGTGGGGAGATGTGTTCGGGCGGAGAAAATAAAAAGATACTTATGCCGGATTCCGAGTGTGTGCGGAGTAGATGGAATCCGAGGAGAGAGGTGGTTGTGCTACGCACATGGGGAGTACCTACCTACGCATGGTGCGCGTAGAGACGATTTGACGGACTCTGTCCTGCGACTTGTCGTACGGCCGACTTGTCGTACGGACTTGATTGTGATTGCTGCGTGCTTACAGTGATTCATGTTTTCAATTCCCGTTTATTAGAATATTAGTATATACACACATATATATATATGTTTGTGCTTTCCCTGGCACCATGAGAATGGAACTCCGGGTTACGCCCGAGTTCACTCTCTAAGCAATTAGCTTAGGACGTTGTTACGCAACGTTTCAGGTCGTGAGCAGCAGTAGTCGAGGAGCGGACATCGAAGACTGTGGTGACCTGCCGTGTGATCATGTATAATTATTCTCTACGGTACATTTACGTTTTCGGGGAACGGTTTGTGTTATATCGGTGGTAGACTTTTATGGTTTGTAATAATGTGATACTACCACTGTGTATGTATAATTATAACTGGAATAATGTACCGTATATGTATGTAAGAAAGTTTCTTCCGCTGAACTCTAAAAATAAAAGTTTTAAATTCCCGCGGATTTTTGGAAGTGCGATTTTTATTTTACTTGTCCATGTGGCGCAACTCGTATTGCGAGATACGGGTTTCGGGTGTTACACCCACCGGTTTCGATCTTCCTTCGCCCTGAGTAACCCTCCAAGTCCTCTAGAGGGGTTGATGACACCCCTTCAATTTTTGTCTCCATATATTATTATTAAGATAAAATATCATAAAAAAAACCTTTAATCATCTAAAAGACATATAAAAAATTAACTAGAAATTAAAATAAGATGAATCTAAATGTAAATACAATAGAATATCATAGTTAGTTTACTTGCTAACATATTTTTCTACAAAGGTCTATGATTTGATAGATTTTTAATAAAAACATGTGTGTATAGAATGTACCTAAAATATACTTAAACAAAACAATAATAGGATGAAAAAAAATTACAAATACAAATTGAATGTCTTGTTTGGCAATTTATAAAAATTACAGAACTATCCTCTACGAGCACATTTTGAATTAGCAACAGCCCGAGAAGCCCATCATCATATTTTTCCCGAGATGATTTTTCCCTGAATTACTTCCTCTATTTTTTTTGGGTCCAAATTATTGATTTTTAAAAATAATATTCAATCAATTTTTACAATTATGCGTTATTGGATTTGATTCAAATAAAAATGTCCACCTATATAGTGCATAATAAATGAAAGCAAAGGATAAAAGGAGTTGGTTTGCTCATGCAAATCAAAGCGCCAACTGCTCTCTTCTTTTTTTTGTTATCTTGTTATTTCCTTCAAATAAAAATGGCTGTCATGCTTTGCATTATGTAATAGTAATAATTTAGTAAATCAACATTTCATGCAAAAAAAAAAAAAAAAAAAAATTAGGAAGATTTGAAGACCAAATTGTGGCAGGTCTTGTCACAAGGGTAAGCACAATCTATCAGCTTTCCTCCTCCCCTTCCAAAGTACCAATCTCCAACTGCTACTGCAATCCCCTGTAATTTTTTTTTCCACATAAAACAAATACACACATATATATATATATATATATCAATATATATATCACCTGCTAACGATTTCGGTACCTTATTTCTAACGGCAGGAGAATTCTTGTCGAACCATGTATCATGTCTCTCGGTCTGGCAATGAGCGAAGCAAGAATTTATGAACACGCCGTTCTGCCTCGACGCCGCGACGCCCTTTACCGCATTCAGAATCCGGATCCTGAAACCTTTTTTTTACTCGAAAGAAAAACACCAGTCTTTGTTTTTAGTATGCAGCTCGAGAAAGAAGCGTGATTTCGAAGAATTTCATCGTTATTTCAGATAAGACATGAGGGGGATCCCACCTTGCAGGAACTGGATCTGAGACGAGTTGCACTTGGCGTAGTTCAATCTACAGTCATGCCAGTAACCTCTTGGATCGGCAGTGGGTGGAGCTAAGCTCTCTTGGATCTGCAACGATGTAAAAATACCGAGACGGAAGTTACAGTCTCGGAGCCATAAAGCTCTTACCAGAACAGAAAGCATTCGATGTTTTGTATCGAGAAGATGACGAAAAAGGCCGAAAACACAGATTACCTGCCACGAATCATACGCTGTGTTGAGAATAAACAGCGGGGTTTTGATCTGGTTGATTATGTTTTGAGGGAAAAAGCACTGAAACGATGGAATCATAAGAGTAAGAATACGTATTTTTGTTCTTCGGTCAGGATTTGAGATAGCCGAAAGGAATAAGAGAAAGATGAATACCGAAGTTGGATCGAGACGAAGGGTACAGGCCCGAGGGAGGGTGGCTTCCAAACCCTGTAACGTTTAAGAGAAATTCTGTATCAAATCCTCAAACCGAAAGGGTTTTGCTTTGATATTTTCTGGGGTTTACCTGCAATTTTACCACGCCTTCGTACATACGCCTAAGAGAACGACCACCCGAGACATCGATGCTTCATTTTTGACGGAGAGATTAACAATCAGTACGGTTACCACAGAAACGACAAAAAAAAACACACGAAGGAAGCTCGGATGATAAACTATCACTCACCTGTCGAGGAACAAGCCAGCGTCGCTGAGGCATTTCACTTTGGTAGTAAGAGGAAACAAACTTCTGAAATCATCGCAGCGTAAAATGGCTGCAAGTCCTCCGGCCGAGCATCCAGAGAGAAGAGCCTAATATACGTTTTAACATTAGCTAAACAAAAGGCGGATTAAGCGAAACATTTATCTTACCTGCTTGGCCTGACTCATTCCCTGTGCCATCAATTCTTCCATAGCAGCAAACCATATACGCTTTCCTCTAAATTGAAGTTGTGCGGCCTGAAAAACACGTTTTTTTTAATCGAACAGGACGATACGACAGTCACGATTAATGTTAAAGCACGGAGATTTTGGTTTCCAACCTTGTTTTCGCTGTCCCCACTGAACGACCCTCCATCACAATACCGGACCTTCACTCTATTCCAGTTGAAGAAATCTATGACAACATTTCATCGGCCGGAACAGAAACAGACGACATTTTCAGCGCAAAGAATTGGCCAAGAGACAAAATATCTCATCAGATGTTTCGGAATATGGAACTCAGAGAAAGACCTGGGTTATCGGAAGCTCTATCGCTTAGAATTCCCGTGAAAGGTATCTCCTTTTCCATGTAAGAGGAGGATCCACGGCGGGTTTTTTTACGGTACACGCAGTTTCTAATGGTATCACACCATCCACCTCCCTGCCATCACAATGTGTTCAACGGTCATGCCATATGCTATGTTACGCTAATGTGACTACATATGAAGCAGAGAATCTTCTTATGTTCGAAACGAAACCTCCAACTGAACAAGCCAGTTGTTTGCTCCCGAACCGTATCCGCGGTGCAAATGGTATCCGGGCAGAGTTCCATCTAGACATACTGCAAGCAAGGAAGATGTCCGATCAGAAGATTGATAACGTTATCGTTTGGACGAACGCAAGGACGGATTTGATGGAGAACCATACATGACAGAACAATCAAAGATAGGAAATTATAGAGAATTTACAGGCTCCTTTAGCAGCAGCGCCTCTAACGAGAGTGAGCCCCACCATTGGGAACTTAGCTTCAGAGAAAACATCACCGTTTGTCTGAAACAGTTCTGTCCCATTGAATTCCACAAAACCCACCATTTCATCGAAATCCACGGACCCATTTGCGGAAACGTCGAAGAAAATCAGTCCCACGAGACTCAGAGCCCACAGCAACTTGTGTCCCATTTCCCTCTTCCTGAACATGATGAACAGGCAATGCAATTCAGAATACCAAAAGGCGTAGAAGGTTAAAACGATGCAGAAAGAGTTGTGGTATTAATGAAGAAAATCTTGAGGTTTAATTATGGACATAAGATTTTAATAACCAATCTTAGGGGATATTCAACAGAATAGTTAGTTGACAAACTTAGAGAGGAAAAAAAAAAGATTCCAGATCAAGATCTTGCCGAAAGCAAAATCATAAACAATTACCTGAGATTTCAGAATGGCACAGGCAGGTTGCATGAGCTTAGAGCTGACCAAAAACTCTCCTTATTCGCACCTTAATCTGCGGCCTAAACCATTTCCATGATTAGATTCTTTTTCTTTTTTGTTAAATTGTGTTTAGATTCTCCGGAAACTGCCATATTTTTTTGTCCTTTTTTGGTTTATTGCACCATTTGGACATATGTGCAAGATTTTCTTTCTTTCTTTCCCATCACCATCAATGGCTCCTTTTCTGTGCATAACGTCTTCATCTTCACTCAGTCGCCATTGCCACTTGTTTCAAGTTCTCACGACTCAAAAGTCTGCAACTTTCAATTTGGGTTTAGCCACAAAATCGATAATCAACACTTGTCCTAATCCTTTCCCCATGTGTTGGTCGAAAGCTGATTCGGATTCTGTCGGAATTCGGAGATGTGTGCGAGACGCGGAAATGGTACTGAAATTGCTGCGAAAGGATGCAACGGCATGAAATGATCACGTATGATCCATGCACGTGTCTCTTCATCAATGGTCTCCAGAACAATCCTTCAGTCCTTCAATGGCGTCAAGAACCCATCGATGCAGGCTTGGAACTCCATCATCCGTGGCTTCGCTCTCTCCTCTTTCGTTTCGTTTCCTCCATTTCTCGACCTGACATCCTCAGTTTCTCCTTCGTTCTCAAAGCCGGCGCTGTTCCCAAGTGTCTGGAGCTTCGCCCTTCCATTATCCGACATGGGTTTTAGCTCTGATACTGTTGTCTACGCTAGTTTTTTTGCGAAGTTATGCTGTGAATGGACACATCGAAGCTGCGGCAATGGTGTTCGACGAAATGCGTCTAAGAGACTTGCATACATAATCAAGCGTTATGTACATTGGCATGTCAAACGAGGGAATCGCCGTTGACGATTACACGCTCGCTCCTCTGTTGTCCTTCAAGTGGGTTTATAGAACATGGGACTTGAGCTTCACAGAATTGCGCCGAAGCTGCATCAATGGCGTTCGATGTCATGCCACCGCATTTCCTCAATTTGTTGTGGGGTTGATAAGAATGTGGAAACTGGAGAAGTAGCCATGGAGAAGTTGGTGCAGCTTGGGGGGCATTGCGTGCTAATGGCTTCCAATCCACATATGCTGTGTAACTAACGATGCAAAAGGTATATCCAGAATGAGGAAGCGAATACGAAGCTGGGGAGTAAGAACAAAGTCCTGGTTGGAGCGGGATTGAGATCAGTCGTGAAATTCACAAAGTGCATTCAGAGTGGGCAAAGATATACTTGGAATTGCAGGAAGTGATCCATCTAGCAAAACTGACTTGGCCGCTTTCCGTCTGATCCGTGAGTTTGGTATCCGAAATTTTGGATACTCGCCCACCAGCGACGACGATAAAATCTGACCTTTGGATTTGAGTTCCGATTTCATCGGTCGTAACCCGTATCCATGCATGAGAGGGTGAGGCATGGGTGCAAGCGTGAGGCGAGATGGCTAGCACAAACGCGACACAAGACACTGGCATGGTGAGATGAGGGGCGAGAAAGCTTGGATACCCGACAAGACTGAGATTAGGTGATCTGATAGAGAAACCCGAGTGGTAACACCGAGAAAATGTACAGACTACAGATGCAGTTATAATCTGACCAAAACCCTTCTCAAAATCAATTTCTTTCATCCGACATGAGATTACCGCGATGCTCTTATCGGCAAATTTTTGGCCCTCTAATTGTTGTTATGAACCCTAATTTCTCCACTCCTTGATGTGTAACATCAGCTGCAAAAGTCGGAAACCCGGTCTGAATTCAAACAAGAACCTTGAGCATACCAGAGAGAAGTGTGATAAAAAAAAAATTACCTTTGTGGCCAAGTAAAAGCTGAAGAACAGAACGCCAAGAACAGGTACTCCTAAGAGATCAAATGAATCAAGCAGAGAATGAATTGGAAGTTACTTTTGAGAAAGGAACAGAGAAATTCGGATCAGAAGCTTCGAGGTTTCCGAGATACCTTCGCCCGTAAGAAATCCGGAGACCAACCAATTGAGACCGGACGGTCCAATGACATAGCCCACAAGGTTTGCAATCTACGAACAGAGAGAGCTTGGCATCAGTTTATGTCTTTGCAGGACATCAACTATGTCTAGAAAGAAGAAGGAAAAAAAAAATACTCGGAAGGGTATTCTAACCATGAGTGATGTGATTGTGACGGCACCCGACAACGCAGCGAGTTCCCGAAAGAGGAATTCCCCGAGAACACTCTCGGCCTGTGGGAACAACAATTTAGGTTACAATACAAAGCAAAGGCTTCTCTTTCCTCCGACCAATTTCGAGGTCTAACCCCGAGTTCAAGATGATACCTTGAATGCATTCGAAGCTGATTTTACTAACATTTCCGGGACGAAGAATAAACATGTAATCCATGCCCATGAAAGAAGCTTCCTGAACAGTTGACCGAAATAAGGAATTTAATAGAATGATTTACTCAGATGGAAAAGGGAAGAAACATCATAGAAAAGGCAATGGGTTACCATTCCAAGTCATGCCAGACAGCAACAAAAGTGAATACAACCCATACATTCAGAAGCTTTCTCCGTGATCCACCGAGAGGAATATACATATACCTAAAGGCGGTGTGGCAATTCATGAGTTGGACGTAAAAGAAGAAGCTAAGTGGGAAATACTACCAGGAAGCTCGAGTTATATCCATCCTCACCTAACCAGCCACCTGTTGAATGAAGCATGCCAATTTTTCCAGAATGTTTCGAGGTTGTAGCAATTATTGATGCACCTAGGCATGTTTTCCACTGTCTCAATGCCATTAACCTGTAAGAAAATATTCAAGTAAATGGCTGCATATTAGAACAATGGAATAGCATTTTGATCCAAACACACTAAAAAAACACCAGTGGAAGCAAGTAGCAAAATTGTGAGTATTAAATGCTGTTTAAATTTCATATACACAATAAATAAGTGAAGAACCAAGTCTCAATTCCCTAGGAATACCATAACTTTACTTCAAGCAATAATCTTGAAGAAAAAACCATTAGATCTTCAAATGCATACCAGAGACCAGAAGCGGAAGTAGCGCCAGATCAGAAGAAATTTTAGCCACATGAAGTTCAACACCTGAAGCAACAACATGAAGTCAAAGAAAAAAGCTGAAATTTCGAAGACCCTTTTAAGCTGAGATTAGATTATGTAGACAGGAAGTGATCTTGTGTTCCAACACAACAAACATATAAGGAAAGCAATATTAAGGAGAAACTTACTCCATATCCAATTATAAAGATTTCCAAGGGCGACAGTTCTTTCCACAAGCGACTAATCACAAATACGAAGAAATTTTAGCCACACGTAAAATATAGAAAATACAATTTACATTAAGGCCAATTCCTCACCATAGCTCTCAAAGGGTTTCACCTGATTGCAAATGCATTGTAGTAGAATAGATGAGTCATCAGTTCCATTAGCAGAAAGCTGAATAACCAACGCAATCCATACCGAGCAACATGTTTGACTGAATGAGTATTTTGAGGCACATCTAGCTGTAAAATACCACCCCATAGTGAAAACTCGTAAAGTCAAAACAGAGTTTGAAATGAGAAATCGCATTCACTTTAGGAAATATGGGAATCTCGAGTTTAATTAAAATTTTGAACTATAAGAAGACATGGATGTAATTCAAGAAACAGATAAATATGATGGGTCAAAATGAAATGAACATAAAAAAATGAAAAAGTGGATGCATAACTAGAACTGCAGACCTGAGAAGCAAATGCATTGAAGCTTATAATTGGTCCGGCGATATATAGGGGCGCATAAAGCAAATAACAAAGGTATATAGGAAAGCTGTAGTGGTCATTTGCAATGCTTCTCTCCTGAAAAATTACACCATGTAAGAAACAATCACTCAAATGCAATAGAAAAAGGGCATTAACGAGAGAAGAAAATGGAGGATGCCCTAAATCCCCAAGAGTAAACCTGTCGAAGAACATAGCAAATCTTCCCGGATTTGCATAAGGAACATCGTGTCATGTGCTTCTGCCACAACAAACTAGCAAATTAAAAGAATAGCTAGAATAACATATGCATTCAATCGTTAATCTGAAAAAGAACATAGAAGTACAGATCGAAAATTAAAGAGCACGTTACACAGAAATAGAAAACTAGATAAGTTCATTAGCGTATAAGAATTAGCAGCTCCTGTCCATTATGCTCACAGAACAACAGATGATTTTTAGGATGATAAATTAATCTTTGAACCCAATGTTAGAATAGCATGAACAAATGATCAGAAATTATATAATAACAAAAACCATCCGGAATAATGCATATTAGAAAACAAGCCGTTACATTATATACATATACGAAAAAACGAGAAGAAAACCATAGTATGAAAGGCTAGGCACCTCCTGATCAAAGCGAGAATCATGCTGTACCCAGTGGTAATCACACCCAAAGCTTATCATTCGTAGAACAACTGTGGAAAAAAGTATAAACAAGAAACATCCAACAGTCAGGATATGTTATTCAGGAAACCATCTTATGATGCAATAGACAAAATCCCATAGTCAAATGCAATGGCAAAAATAAATACCGAAGTTGAAGCATATGTGCCATCTAAATGTGCCCCGAAAGTTGTCCAAGAATTCAAACTGTCGCCTTGAATGTAAAGATGTAAAAAGGGATGATTCCAGGTATTAGACGCTATGATGGCCAGCAGGCTACTATAACTCCAAATTTCTGTAAAATCAAGAATACAGTGCACATGGATGTACATGACTTACCCAAAAATAGAAAATGAGTATCCCTCATAAATGCGGTTGCACACCAGAAAAAATATGTTGAAAATCCAAAGTATGAAAGGGAAATAAACTGTTCTTGCAAACCTCTGCATCAAAGTAAATCTAGTTAACAATGAGCAGCACGCAACCATCTAAACAAAAAATAGCAGCAAGTAAAACCCACAAAGAGTTGATGAGATCTGCTCGACACTCTAAAATCTTGTGGTCTGAATTACAAACTTGTCAGGCTACAAGTCGAGAAGCAATTTCTAGATATGGTATTAATGTTGAAAAACTTGCCAAGTAACATACCTTAACAAGAACAAAATTAGCCGTGGCAATCAAGAGAATGTAAATGATGCTGGAAGAAAAGAAGGAAAGAAATCTGAGAATTAGTAAGAAAGGCCGAATTCAGATCACATGTGATGCTTAGCAATAACAAAGAGATGGAATTTAGCATACCAAGCTCCATGTAGGTAAGTCAGGTAGAAAAATGACAAGGAAAGCCACAGAAAAGCCATTCCTTTTGCTCTTAATTGAAAAAACAACCTCAACCCAGTTGAAATCAGGGTAAAAATGGCGAAAACAAAGGTGAGAATAGGCAGATTTCCGCGAAAGTTCCTCCATTGAGCATCAGAGACATCCTACAAAGAAAGGAATAAAAAGGAAATGTCTTTAGAAGTAATAAACCCACAAAAGATTTGGAAAACTGCTAAAGAGAGATTAACACACGTTAGGGCGATGAGGGATGAGCCAACCAGGAGCTAAACCGTAGAGCTTTTGGTAGTGATCTAACATCACCATGAAACAAGTCACATTACATAAACAGAGATTTCAGACAAACATAACCACCCGACACAGATTCCTTGCAAAAGAAACTGCAAATTTGGATTATTACCGTGGGAGAGAGTTAAGGATCGTTTTATGACGTAAGCATAGAAGGCAATAGCGTAGAAGATTATAAGAACCAGCTCCTTCTGTTTCCATTTCGTGAACCGATTCTTGTACAGATTTGAAGTATCCAGTTTTTCTTGGTTCATGACTGCTCAGCATCAAACCCAGAAAAGAATATCAAGATTAATTGCATCGTTTTGGCCAAAATCTCCCACGCAGATTGAAAATACAACTGATTGAACACAAATTGAACCGTGAAACACAACTAGAAAAGAAGCGAAACATCTCTCTCTCTCTCTGGGCTTCGGACCCAACAAAAACCGGAGACAGAGTGTATACCTGATCGGAGAAAACGAGCCAAACGCGGCTGAGACCTCGGCGGCGATGAGAATCGGGGGTGAAGTGAAGAAGACCAAAAAATTGATTGTTTTCAAACTTCGGGGCAATTTCGTGTTTTCATTCAAAGTTCGGGGTAATTTCGGGTTTCTTCAAAATATTCGGGGCAGTCTGGATTTTTCCGGTTTTTTTTTTTTTTTTTTTGATAACCAGGATGGTTCCTCGGACCTTCGGCCCAACTACATCCACCCTAGGTCCGGGACCAACCTTTGTATATGGACCATTTTAGTCCAGAAATTACATCCTCTACACCAGTGGAATCGAACCCAGGACCTTGAGAATGTTTTCACTTCTCCGCCACTAGACCACCAACGGTTAGATATTTTTTCGGTTTACTTGGTATTGCAGAATATTGAATCCAAGGAAAGCAAACCGGATCAAACCGTAACACCTCGGTTTCGGTTTAGATTTTTTAAGTTAATTAATGTTTCAGAATTATTTATATACTCAGAGGGATGATTTATTCATTTATATTTTTTTCAAATATTTTATTCTCTCGTTCTCTTTCCAGACATATATTTTTATTTTTATTAAATCTAAATTTTAAAAAAAAGACATAATCTAATTGATTCAATTCTACTTATACAAACAACCAATCAACATTTCTGACTTGAGCGGAAGAATTAGGGGGAGCGTCGAAGTAGATATTGTTGTTGGAACTAAATTCAAACTAAACCGTCTAAAGAAATTGTTATTGAAACCGGACCGGTTTTCTTCTTTTCTTTATTAAAACCGAACTCAATGTAAACCAAATCGAACCGAAATCAGACCGGACTTGGGTTCCGTTGACTTTCAAAAGACAAAAATGGCATGCTCCACGCTTCAACCACTCGCCCTGGAAAAGTCCTCTTAAATGATTCCCACCCAATTATTTCTCCTCTTATAAATTCAACCTCCTCTGTTTCATCTCTGTCATCAACTGCTCCTTCCAAGTCAAGCATCCATGGCGACGACACCTCCAGCTCTGTTTCTCCTCTGTTTCACTCTCTTCATCATCTCCTCCACCTCAGATCCCGACATGCTCCAAGATCTCTGTGTCGCCGATCTCTCCTCAGGTACCACCATCTCCCTTTCTTACAGCTCCAAGAACAGATCCAGTTCATGTTCTTGTCCTAACACTGACATGTCCTGCTCTGTCTTTTTTGCAGGGACCAGAGTGAATGGCTTCGCTTGCAAGAACCCGAACAACGTTACGGAATCCGATTTCTTCTTCGGAGGGCTTGCCAATCCAGGGCTCACCAACAACACCATGGGCTCGCTAGTCACTGGAGCCAACGTCGAGAAGATTCCCGGGCTGAACACGCTCGGCGTCTCGCTCTCGCGCATTGACTACGCCCCTGGTGGACTCAACCCACCCCACACACACCCACGTGCCACCGAGATCATCTTCCTCCTCGAGGGCACCCTTGAGGTAGGGTTCATAACCACGGGAAACAAGCTAATCTCTAAATCCCTCAAGAAAGGCGACGTCTTTGTCTTCCCCAAAGGACTCGTCCACTTCCAGAAGAACAATGGCGACGTTCCGGCCTCTGTTATCGCCGCTTTCAACAGCCAGTTGCCCGGGACTCAGTCCCTCGGCGCCACCTTGTTCGGGTCTACCCCATCTGTTCCAGACAATGTCCTCTCTCGAGCTTTTCAGATTTCAACCAAAGAGATCAAGAAGATCAAGTCCAGGTTCCAACCAAAGTAACGATCTTTGATTCCAGCAGCTACCCATTTCATGTTCAATAATGTATGTTTGTATAAAGAACAGGAACAAGCATATTCTGATGCATCATACTCTGCATATTTTTGTCCTCTCCTGTGTCCATTCTGATGTCTTGGAAGTTGTTCACCTGCAACATTATTCTGATGTTGATCTGAAACATTAATAAACGTATTTTCATTATCCACAGATGAAATAATATGCTCTAAAGCAACCGGAGTATGGGCCCTCTTGGCTTCTTGCCAAAAAGATGGAGCCAATCCATTGTTTAATCATTGAGATTAGTTTTTCTAATGCCTCTCCATGTGCTTCTACTTAAAACCAAAACATAATCTTATATTAAAGAACCCTCTTAGAGGTTAATAGCCTGTTTGGAACTTGGTCAATATCTCACCAGTGCACAGAAACCAGCTGGCAGCATCTGCCATTGTTTGAGCTCGTCAAGGCTTCATCAGGCTGTACTGACAAAGATCAAAAGCCACAGTCAGTACATTCTGTGCGTACATGTATCTAGACCCATGTCATAAGAAAAGCTTATGCTTATGAAGATCATACTCATATGAGGAATGAAAAACAGAAACGAGCGGAGAAAGGATCAGCATCCATATTTACAACTTAGAAAAGGAGAAGAAAGGAAGGAACAAACTGTTCTTCATTGTAATTGAAGTTGACACCGAGAAGAAACAAAAGCAAGTAGAATAAAAAAGTTACAAACAAGGTGAAAGTGTGAATCCATTAGCCATAACCCTTTATCCCCTTTTTCGGATCTCGAGTCCCACGTAAGGTTTATTTGTTCGCAGCCGCAAGTTCAGCAGTAATGATGAAAGTAGATTTCCCGGCCTGTCTTAAGTAATGCACGTCTCCGTTCATCAGTTTCACCAGCTTCCGGCTAATCAGAAGACTCATCCCTTCTTCCGACACATCTTCATCACTTCCAAACATCTCGTTTAGCAACAATTCCGGTATTCCAGCTCCCGTATGTGTTATCCTGTTTGAAAAAAACAAAAACAAAACAAATGTCCTCAATCACATCCTAGTTGAAGAACTTTTCCCTCTAAGCTTTAGTGTGTTCTAAGTTTATTTTACCTGATCTCAAGGTAGGCAAGATGAACAGATTGCCCAAGTTGATCCTTCCCGAGGCTAGCCATAAGAGTAAGCTGCCCTCCAGGCGGCGTAAAACTAACTGACATCAGCATGAAATTGGACAACACTTGTTGAAGCCTGATGCTGTCCCCGTACAAGGTATCGTTCATCACTTCTTCTGTTGTCTCGTTCGTCATCCGGACACTCTTCCCATTGCTCTTCATCATCACTTGACTTGTGGCAGCAGTCAATATCTCATTCAGGCTGAACTCTGTCATTTCCAGATCCAAGTACCTGAAAATCAATCCCCGGGAATATTAGAAAGAGAAATCAAGATAAAAGAAACCCAACTGAAGTTTGGAACTCTGGGTTTTTCTCCATACCCTTCAATGATACTGTCGAGATCTGAATCATCGAGGATCTTGCTGAGTTGCCGCTGGCACTGTGCACTAGTGTGCAGAAGCTGTCTTTGCTCGGGTCCTAATTCAGTGCTCTCCATCATTTTCCTCGAAAACATAATCCCCGACAGAGGATTCCTGATTTGCCTTTTTATGTAAGCTAGAGCTTTCAGTCTCTTCAAGGCAGTTTGTTCAGACAGACGCTGGACATGAAGCGCTTGCTGAAGCTCTTGGCTTGCAAGTTGCAGGAAACAGAAGACACCGGTTACTACACCTTCCCTGTCCAGTTTCTTGCTCACACACAAAAGACACTCTATATACTTCCCGTTCCTCGTAAAGAAAGCAAAGGACACCTTATCAGAGTCTTGACTGGTCACGGCATTATTCAACACAATCCCGAGATTCACAAAGGCTTCTTGGTTCTTAAGACGGCAGCACGCCATCTGTGTCCCAAAGACCTCTCCCAACAGCATCTTGTCGATCACTTCCTCACGTTTACATCCGGTTAACTTTGCCATTGATGGGTTCCATTCTGTGCACCAGCCGAACTCATCCGTACCAAATATGGGAGGGATCAATGGGTTCGGGTTCTGGATGATGGCCTTGTAGTCACCTTCGATCCGGGTAAACTTGTCCATCACATTCTTCTGAGCAGTAAGATCTTGAGCAACGAAACACACTCCAACCACATTTTCATGGAGATCTCTACTTGCACATGCATTGACAACTAAACTTATTGGCCCCGCATCCACCCTTGACCCATGTGTCTTGATCTCGAATTGAACGTTCTGCTCCTCAGTTCCTACATAAATACAAAAGAAGTTTATATATAGAACTAGCTTTTCCATTTCCGTTGTGCAGAAATCTTTCGATTAGATTTTGGAACTCAAACAACAAAAACCAAATCTTTTGCTATTCAACGTAGTGGAGACCCGTATGTTCTAATCCATTTGAAAGATTGACAGCCATAACTAAACATAAGTTAGGAATGAGACTTACCCTCCAATGCCATCTCCAGCATCTTCTTGACCCTTTCAACCGAAGAATCTTCAACAAGTGTGGGGAAATTCTTTCCGATGGCTTCATCAACTGGAAGACCGGTTAGCTCAGCAATTTTGGTGTTCCAACCATTGATCGATCCATCAGCATCAACAGCCAAAATCGGAACAGTGGCGGTTTCAATCAAGCGAACCATCTCACTTGTCACAGCTTCTAGTTCTTGAATCCCATCGAGTTTTAGATCATTTAACTTCGAGTGGAGCACATTTGTGTTCACATCAATGGTATCGGTCTCCTTGAAAGTATTCCTCAGAATGAGCTGCAAGGAATGAATGGCATCCATTTCATAATCCTTCCAGGGTGTACACCTTGTCTTGACCACCTCGAGGAAAGCCTTGAAAGATGACCTAGGATGCATTTTTCTCGAATCATCTTTCTCATCAGGATCATGCTTTGCACCACCCCATCTTATTTCTCCAGCAGTATGAGACCGGAACCAGAAAACCATGTCCTTGGAAGTTATCCTCACTGCTGCCATTCCACATACCGAGTCTCCGAGAGCCAGAGCCCCCGGAAAGCCAGCATCATACAAGCTTTCCGTGCTCAAACCCGTGGAATCCCTGTGGTAATCAGACATCCATGAAGCAATATCTTGCAGCTGGAAGTCGGTTGGAGTTATTCCCAGTTTCCAGATCTTGTTCTTGTACAGAAGAGCTGCTCCATCACATTTCACAAGATCCATTATGTTGGGACTCTGAGACACGATACCGAGTGGAGCATCACGCATCAGCATGTCACACAATAGTGTCTGTGTACGCAAAATGTTCTTCTCCACGATCTGATTTTCCAGTTCCAGTTCCTTGCTGACATGTATAGCAAACACTTGAGATAGAAATTCACAGGCATACCTAAGAGGAAACGGAACAAATCTCGGGGTCGTGTTATGGCACACCACCAAACCCCATAGCCTCTTCCTCTTATGAGGCGGTGCAGAATCAGGGACGTCACCCTCTCCTTCATCCTCGTTAAACACCACCGCCATGACGAGAGAGGCAATTGAACTCATGTTCTCCATATACTGAAGATGGCAGCTGTGGGGTGCCCTAAGGGTTGAGCCACACAAGGTGAGATCAAATGGCAGCTTCTCGTCTTGAAGCACCTTAACGTGTTTTGCCCGGCAATCAACTATCATCCTGACTTTGTTCTTCATAAACAGAAACCGGGCAGCTTGAGGAATGTCGGTGGCTGGATAATGCAATCCAAGATAAGGCTCTAGCCCGGGTTTTGTAACCTCGGAGATAACCTCACCATGATCATCATCATGGAATTTATAGGCCATAACCCTGTCGTAACCCGTGAGTTCAAATACCTCCTGAACCATCGTATCACACAGCCTGTCCATGCTCCCGCTGGGCAATGTCTGCAATCTGGTTATTGCTTTGGCGGCAAGCTTGTACGACTGTAGAGCACCAGCAGCTGTCATGGGAACTTCGTAGGGCTTCACAGGTTCGAAATCAACGATGATGCTCCCTGTTACCCTGTGGACAATTGCGTAAAAGGGCTTTGCAGAAGTCTTACAGTGAACAAGAATGGGATTCAAGAGAGAAACATCCCCAAATCCGAGTGCCTTCTGCAGGGCAGAGGCACTAGGAGCAGTGAAAAGGGTCCTTATTTCTGTCCCGATTCCAAGAACGGGGTGCTCCCCAACACTAGGAACTGCGTGGCTAGTCATGGTCAACATCTCGGGGGCATTCTCGCTGTATGCAATGACCTTGAAGGTCTTCTCGTCCAAGGCCAGCAAACATCCAAAGGGTTGAATCAGCTTACCCTTCTGTATGTGAAGAAGATAAGCAGTAGTCACCTTGTCAGACCTCGGTGGTTGGTCTTCCACGACAGGACCAGTGACTCGAACCGAGCTCGAGTAATCGAAGGAACTGCCTGATTCCTCGAAATCAGCATGGAGTTTTGCATCTACAGTGGTCTGTGCAATGACCCTAGCACCATGTCTCGATCGCCTGGTGTCATCAGAAGACCGGGCAGGCCTAGAGGCTGACATTTTTCACCTGAAAACAACAAAGAGATCCAAACAATATCAAAACAAAACCCTTCAAAAAACTCTGATTATGAAAGAAGGCAAAAGCGAAAAGCTTTCAAGCTTAGATTCACATCACAAAGCAGCAGTTGTTTTGAACAACCAAGGAAGAAGCTTAGCGTACTTCACTACACAAAAAGTCTATAACTCTGATTCAAATCCTCGAATCCGAAATTTTGGCAAAACCCACATGAAAATCACCAAAAAGAGCTACGGATACATACTAGTTGTCGATCCTAGACACAAGGGCCTAAGCTAAAAAGAGCAAAAAGCTTCCATGGAAGACAAGGAGAGAACAGAGAGACAGGGAAAAAAATATAAAGCAGTCACCTTTGAGAAGAAGTGATGATGACCCGGTTGGAAACTGAAGAAACCAAGATCAGATCTTTGAGTAGTCTCCCTCAGAGAAAGGCTTCAAAGCCCAAGCAAATTCTCGGTCACCGCCTCTGTTACCTGTACTCTGCGATTTGTGCTCCCTATCCAAGACAACGAAGGGGCCACTGTATTACGTATGCCCACGTTTTCCAATTATGGGCAAAATCTGGAAATATATATATATACATACACGTCTATCTATACACATGTAATGGATGTATGTATGAGTGGATATAATAATAATAATTGAAGAGAGAAGATTTACAAGACAAGCAAGAAGGTCGGCCTCGCTGGGAACATTTCTTCGAGGTGGAGGAAACGAAGCAGCTGATGATGGGCACAAACTGTAAATAGCGAAAAAGTTGGCACCTTTCTGAGATTCTAAAAACACTTTTTTGACGGACTAAATCCATTAAACTAATACATAAACCCTAACAGATAACCTCTGCTTTGGTTCGTCGACGTACCCGTCGATTCTACCATACATTAAAACATTAAAAAATGGAGGAGAAGGGCGATCTCGATTTGTCAAGATTGAATCCTCCAAGAATAAAATGAAATCATATTATAAATAATTATTTAAGAAAAAGAAAACAAAAACAGGAAAGATAGCGTTGTGAATGTAGGCAGTGTCTGGAAGTGGAAAGGGGTTCTGGGGATCAGGACAACATCAATGTTATCGACATCACGTGTCCTCGGCATGGAAAAAAAAAAGACAAGCGCTATTTTTTTTCTCATGTAAATACCAACTTTAAAATAAGCTGGCTAAAACTTTTGAAATAATTAATACGATAAATATTAAAATATTTCAAATTAATATTCTAATTATATCAATTTCTAATTTTTTATATAATAAATAATTAATTTATCCGAATAATCTATCTTATGATGGTCGAGTGATAGGTGTTTAATTCAGAAGATATAGCCGGAATGAAAACTTCGTGAATCATTGTTTAACAAAAAAAAATCCGAAAAAATTCTCAAAACGTAGGACATTTTTTAATAATGATTTGCGCTATCAATGATTCACAACAATTTATCAGAAAATTTTAATAATTTCTTTGATTTTGTGATTCGATATTAGAAATTGTCATTTATTTCATAAATTATGATATCAATTTAGAATATTTTAAAATTAGATAAATTAAAAGTTTAAATACTTATCTTATATATTTTAGAAAATTGATTCAGATTTTTTCTTTTTTTATTATACCATGAATAAAGATAAAACAAAAATAATTTATGTTCAAACATTTTAAACTCGTTTATATTCTTAATATTTCTAAAATACACGTTTTTAGTAGATTATGATTCAATCTTAAGATTAAAACGATAAAAATTTTAAAAATTATTTATTGTAATTTCATTTGTGTGTAATATTATGAATAAGTATAAAATCGTGTAAACTTGAATGGTAAACAACATCATATAACCAATTCAATCATATTTCGTAACGAAGAATATTTTTTTGGTTAAAAGGTGATTTGTATTCTATACCCAAAAAATTTACAATCGAGAGAGTTTACAAAAGATTGTGGAACCTATGAATAAGTGGTATCTATTTCTACAAAAAAAAAATTGACATCAGACCCAAAGAGAACTACATGCGCATATATCTCGTTAAATAATATCAATCAGCAAGTAATGAGACTCTATCATCATCAGGAAGCTTCTTTTTGACCGACAGTAATATGTTCCGCAAGGTATGATCGACCTTCCAGCATGTATGGTCCGGCAGCCTTCGTTTCGCCCGAAAGATGCAGTGGTTTCTCTCCCTCCAAAACTCATAGATCGTAGCCTGAAGGAGAATCTTCGCAATCTGCATCCTGCGTCGATCGTTGCTCGTTGTCGCACCTTATGATCCAATCCGCACACTGATAAATATTCAGCGGGGGATTTGGCCAGCATAGAGTTGCATATCGTAGCCACACATAAGTGTTATAGTTGCACTCAAAGAAGAGATGTTGGCGCGATTCTTCTTCCACCTCACAGAGTGTACAAGTTGTTTCTGACATGACACTCCATCGACAGAGTCTGTCTTTGGTCGGAAGTCTGCCCAACATAACCTGCCAAGCCAAAAATGCATGCCGGGAAATAGTGTGAGAGAACCAGCATACCATAGAATTCCATTGTACAACCTCATGGTGGCTTCGAATTTGATTTCACGTTCGGTTCATGAGGAAGAGAGCTCTGTAATCTTCGGATCCCTATCGCCACAACATTTGATCCTGCTCGTCATTTGTTGTCGGCGGCGTAAGGGAGGAGAGAAGGGTGAATACTTCTTGTTGCCTATGTGAACGTGCATTCGGTAGAGTCCAATTCTCGTCATCTCTGCACAGATTATGTTGACGTGTAATCTTGTTCCGGTTTGGGTCAATTTTATTTTTATTTTTCTACAAAATTGATTTTATCTTTGGTTGTTGAATAATGCTCGAGTCTTTAGGGACATCAAATTTGTTGCGTATTTATTGATTTAGTTGATTGTATTTCTGTTACAAAAATTCTTTTTAAATAAGAAAATTGCTCACGAAGAGGAGGATCAGTTGAAGAAATCAAATATTGCTTCTCTCTCTCACTCCACAAAATATTCTCTCGTTCATTTATTTTTTTATCAGTTTTTATTTTTTTTGAAAATGAAAAAACAGAAAAATAAAATGCATGAATTCTTCGATTAATTTCTAACAGATTACCGCCGCTAAGTTCGGGACACAGAAGCTTCGAGGCCCAGATTCACCAATAAACTTGATCAAAGGCTCTAGTGATGTCAGGGATCATGCTAGAAAAGGGTGTTTTGCCCATTTCCAAACTTGATTCTCAGGAAAGTTAGTGCCATATCTTTCAGCCCGAGCAGTTTTCTCAGGTTCCAAGAGAACCGAAGAGAAGATGTAGTGTTTCAAAAACCTTTCCATCTAAACACATATTGTTGTGCGTCCAAGCTACCCATAAAGAGCCCGATTTTGAGAAGAGAATCCAAATCAGCTTCAATCGGAAGATGAGACTGTAATATGTTATATTTCATAGGCCGAGTCCTCCTTTACGCGGCTTGCAGATGTTTTTCCATGATACACGACGGGATCCTGAAAGTGATGCGTTACCTGACCATAGGAAGTTAAAACATAGACTATCCACTTCTTTCATGAAAAACTTTAGCAGAAAAACACCATTCCCATGCATTGATCAACCCATATATGACCGAACTAACTAGTTGAACTCTACCTACCCTAAAATTTGGTTAGTCGAGAATGGCTAAGAAGAACTCCCAAATACCTGACCGGCAGTAACTCTATTCGAAATCCCGTCAATGCGCTCAGATTGACAGCTTCTTGTTCATTCATTCCCCCAAGAAAAATTTCAGTTTTTGCCATGTTCAGATGCAAACCCGAGTACCTTTTGAACAAACTCAAAATCTCCTTTACTTTGAGCAAAGTTTGGGCATCCCCTTTGATGAAAATCATAACATCATCGTAACGAAGAATATTAAGGTAGTAAAAACTGTTAGAGTAGATGTATTTAACGATAGTAATGTGACATTTTGTATGAATTACAGGGTATATTTAGAATTGCTTGTCTAAATGGATTTCTTATTCTTAAATAAATTTTATATATGCGTAAAAAAAAAATAAACGCGATCCATGCGAAACAGAGGAGGTCAATGCCCTTTCTTTTGTTTAATTGTACAAATTATTATTTGAAGCAAATATATCAATTGTGAAAAAAAAACGAAACTTGGGATATTGAAATATTTTATGAGATGTATTTATTCAGGTCAAAAGATATTAATAGATTAATGGGTTATACAATTCGTATAGGAAAAAAATACTAAGTGAATTTTATATTATATGGCCTATTTGATATGACACCATTTAGAAAATGTGTGGGTTATATTGTTATATATGCTTATGAATCATTGATTAATGCATCTTTTTCTTCTTCATATTTTTATATTATTTCTCCATATCACATCAGATAAGATTTAATAATTGATTTATGAACATTTTCGCATTTTTCTCCAAAAATTGACCGAAGACCCCATAAAGTATCACAATCGGTGAAAAACAAAAGTGTATTAATTGTAGCTCATTAATTTTATCATCAATAAATATTTTTATTTAACATATAAAATAGGAATAGCCATTTCGGTTATTAACTGAATAACCGAGTCGAACCGAACGGAATAAGATATAACCGTATCCAAACCGAACCCCACATCAAAATCGAACGGTTATGATTTTTTTAAACCCGAAAAAATCGAAACCGAACCGAACTGAACCGAATAAAAAAATAACCGAAAAAACCGACGATTTCTTTGAAAAAAATGAGTTTTTTTACCGAAATCGAACCGAACCAAACCGAAAAATAACCGAACCGAACTGGAATTTATGTAAAAACTGAATGGTTATAGTTTTTCTATAACCGAAATAACCAATCCCGAATATAACCGAACCGAATCCGAATCGAAATCCGAAATGGTCATTCCTAATATAAAATAAAATCAAATGGCATGAATGCTATCATATGACAATTAAATTTATTAACAAACTAATGGAAAAAAGTTTTTAAAATTAAAATAATAGTTAAACCAAACTAAATCTAAAACAAATCTAACATAAAAAAATAAAAAATTGGAATCCAGTCTGACATATGGGTCAAATAATCTAAGACATAAGACATAGGATCCATTGGTTATGGATGATGCTTTTCCTATTTTGGTCAGACATTAACTACACGGTTTCTGTAAACTTCCACGGAAAGCACGTGTCCACTGACCTGATCAGTCCTTTCCCAACGTAGTTTATTATTGGGCTTAACTTTAAGGCCCATTTAAAAGCCCATATAATTGAATGGACAATAGAAGCCCATTTACAATGTTATAACTAGGAACGGCCCAAATTAACCGAAAATCGGGTATGGGTACTTCATTCAAATCTGAATCTGAATTTACGAATATCCATGAATTCGAATTCGAAAAATAAATTTTTTTAAATCGGAAACCCGATGATACCTACTTTTATAAATAATTATATCCCTACATATTTATAATATTTTCATAAAATATAATAGTTTTGAATTAAGATTTTATCATGTCTAAATATTATTTAAAAAACACAACTCATTTTGATTTATCTCATATTTTAACCACGATAATCACAAATTCAATATTTTATTTTTAATTTTTTTTGTATAAATATTATTATATTTTATTAAATTAATCCGAATTCAGATATCCAAAAAAATACGAACATTATTTCAAATATTTGTTTTGGTTTGTCTATAACTCCTATATGCGAATATAAATCTTAAAATGAGATAAATCAAGCTTATTGAGTACAAATCCCAATATTCTAATATTTTCGGATATGCCCCACCCCTACTTATCATGTATTATACCATTTTTCATGATTGGCCTGTCAATTCTTTTGGAAAAATCAATTATATGGAAGTGATTGATGTCAAATGACACTTAATGTCACATTTTCTATCCGATTTAAAATAACCGATTTTTTTTATTTTATTTTAAAAACTTAGCCTAAACTAGACAAAAAATAAAAATTTACCAGATTGGGAAAATGTCATTTAATATGTTAGTTTATTTTTAACAATAAATATACAAAAAAAAAATCTTGATACCCACTAATTGTCTGAGGTATATCTCCAACGAATGCTGCGGCTATTGTTTGTCAAATGAATCACTCATGGACTTCTCTTCCATGACAACTGAAACTGTGCGCCCATGTCATGAAAATTTTAAGGAATATCACAAAATACAACACACAATCACAAACGATGTTTATGTTTTTTTTATATTGTAGGGAGCTTAGGACGTACTGGTTAGATAAACATCGTCCACATATACGAACCCTCAACAAACACGTAGGAGATAGATTAGTCATAATTGACGGACAGCAGATGAGCGGGTAAGGAGTCGAACCCTAACCTTTCGGCTCCATGCCAACTTATCTAGGGTTTCCCCCAATCACAGACGATGTTATGAAACACCGAAAGGCAATGTAGATAAAGCAAGAGGACCAGAATCAGTAACTTGAATTTCCTTCCATTGTAGCACAGAAAAGTTCAAACCTCTCCAAAATGTTCAAATCTAATAATATCTATCATCAGGAAGATGGAAGCAGTAATCCCAAAAAAACTGGTCAGATTCTTAAGCCACCTTCCACCAAAAGGGAAAACTAGTAAGGGTTATGAGAGAAGAGCTCAACACAAAGATGATTAGCCAAATCTTCGTGGAAGGGCAATCCCTGCTCTGTCCTCTCAGATTCTTTGAATCTTTCAGCATCAAAACTCATACTACAATATTCTCATGGTTACCAAGAAAGCTATTAGGTTATATGATCAAGAGCAGAAGAAAGATCAATCTTTGTGCAAGGAATCCTCAAGATCAATCTCTAATCCGACTCGGTTTCTAATGGACGCTGCAGCGTGGCAAGACGAGGTCTTGCACTTCCTCTCCAACTCCTTGTACCTCTCAACATCAAACTTGTACCTTTTGAGCAATTTCCTCTGCCTGGAGATGAAGAGCCTCTTCAAGAAATCCTGGTACGAAGGGTCTCTTGAAGTGACGAGGAAATAGCCATAACCAACGATTATACCCGTGGCTGTGGCGAAAAACGCGATGGGTTCCATCACGTCCCACGAGAATTCCCAAAACGTCAGCCGGAAAAAGAGCCCGATTTGAGCCACGGAGTATGCAAGACCGCACCAGAGAATCTTCCTGACCTGCTTGTGAGCAAGAACATCGATTTCTTCCTTCATGTTCTTCAGCTTGTCGAATTCCTCCCTCATTGGATCATCCTCGTGTGTTAGAGCCATGGGTATTGCCCTTCGAACCAAACCCACCACCTGAAAAACCAATCCGAGACATTATACCGACAGATCTGGAGACAACCCAGATGGAGAGAGACAAAGAGGATCGAACCTTGTCGGGATGAAGATAAACCTTTCCCCGGAAAATGAGAACAACTCCGGCGTCGTCGAGGACACGAGCGAAGGCATGAGCTTCGTCCAGAGATCTGGCGATTCCTATTCTCTGAGACTCCTCTAAAAGGGCATCGTAAGGAACCACTTCTGTATCCGCCATGCCCAGAAGCTTCTTCTTCAGATCCTCCACATTCACCAGCCTCATCAGCTTCTTCGCCTCCTCCACCGTTATCTCCTTCTTCTCCTCCGTCCTCGTCGTCGCCGTCGTAGCCGGCGCCGCCACATCCGTCGTCGCAGTCGCAGTCGCCGGTTCGACGACGGTGAGGCTCCTGAACCCACCAAGCTTGTTCCTCTGCGAAACCCTACACATGGCGGCAATGGCCGTACGCTTGAGAAGATTCACCGATAACATCTCTCTCTCTCTCGCTTTCTCCTGTATCTTGCACTTTTTCACGACGGACCCACGAATATTATCTCAACCATTCGACGAATGACGTTCTGGGATTTTTGGAAAGCGGACGAGTTTGTGTCCGGAAACCTAGGAATCGAATATTTGGGGGCCGAGGGGGAGAGAAATCAAAAGGCGTGATCCGATTCTGGTGCAGTGTCTACAACGTGTTCTCAAATGGTGACCCATGTTGGCAAAAACGAAAAAGAGGAGAGAGACCGTATGAAGGAATTAGCTTTTATATTCTATGGTGGAGAAGATGTAAAAAAAAACCTAGACCAGACCGCCATTATTGACATTGACGCCAAGCTTTGAACTCCACTACTTTTGCAATCTTTATTATCCACCTAACATTCAGCGACCTTATCATTCCATTCAGCGTTACGCGGAAAATACACAGAGCTCCAAAAAGGCTCACAGAAATCAAATCCCCGAAAAAAATTGCAACTTATCATGTTAACTCTCTAATGGGGAATTATGGACCGTTAATCTATTTCCTAATTTATTAGAACTATATCTTTGTTAGAGCAAGTAATTGGCAGCACATGTAAACCCGCGTATACTATTTGTTTTTCTCTAATTATCGCATGTAGGATTACATTTTAGTCCCCATTTTGAATTATATTTGGATTAGAGCGTGTTATTTCAAAATTTAGCTTTAACAAAGTAACAATATATATTTTTTTATAATTTACGAGAATACTATTAAAATTATTTATGATATTATGATTATCGTTATAATTTTATTCCTAGTGTGTGACTTCGGCCAATTTTTACAACCAACAGTCAAAGAAAATTGGCCCATCAGGAAGCCCAATTTAAACTTTGGATATGGACCCATCAATAAGCCCACTAACCTTTTGAACATTTTATGGGCCCATCGAGAAGCCCAATTCAATTACGGTCAACGATCGGTGATACAGTGCGGGAAGTGCGAAGATCCAAGGGATTGCCCGGCAAAGGACTGAGAGAGTAACTAACAAGTAGAAGAAGATGATGATGATGATGATGGCTTCACAGATGCGATGTAGTTTTCCGGCGGTGCTCGTACTCTCCGCGCTTCTGTTGTTCCTCGCGCCTGAGATAATTCCGGTCGGCGAGGCGATTTGGCTGAACGTGCCAGCGACGGGAACAAAGTGTGTCTCCGAGGAAATTCAGAGCAACGTTGTCGTCTTGGTCGATTACATTGTCATCTCGGAAGATCATTCCGCCTTGCCCACTGTCTCCGTCAAGGTAATTTCTCCGTTTTCCTGTTCGAATTCGCATCAATGTTCGTAGGCTGATCTTGCGGTTTCAATCTGAACAACGGCCTCGATCCGTTGTGCTTGTGGAAGTAATTCCCGATCTTTGTTCCTTTTATTTGACATTTTCTCCGGGATATTTGGATGAATTTGTGACCGATGCATAGATTTGATGTCCGATTCACCTTTCCTTGTTCATGGGTTTCCTTTTATGGCACCGATGTATTTATCTGATTGTTGTTAGTTGTTACTATTATATATCGGCAATCGATATATATATATATATATATATGCCTTTGTTTTGTGATGTGATTCTTGATTTTATTCTGGACAGTTTCAATCAATCTTAACCAATCGTTGATGTTGCCTGAACTACGAATCCATTAGGAAATAAGCCCTCCCTACATTTCAAGTTTTTTGGCAATCATACCTGCACGAGTTTTCTCCAGTTTGTGGGCATTTCGTGTGGGCAAATTTTCTCTGAGTTCTCTGTTTTTCTTTTTTAGAACGTGGTCGTTAACTCGTGTATTGAACAGTTCTATCCGGATGCAAGCTTGACGTTGAAATCCACTTAACAGTGATGGAACTGTGCAGTCTGCATGCTCATGGGCTCTGTGTTTTGAAACCAGTTGTACTCCTGACATCAACTTTTCTTTGGGTTAGCAAAGATTGAGGATATTCTTCCAGTTCGTGTCGGAAAATAGGTCTATGCCCAATTGAATGTTTTCATAGAAAAAAAATCACTGAAGTATGTTTTGATTGTTATAGTTAGACAGCACAGAAGCCATGGATTTTTAGGGTTTGCATTGGTTTGGTGGATTGTAGTTGAAAGTGCCATCAGATGCATTATGATTTGAGTCCACATAATTACATGCATACCATGTCTGTGTATAAGCATATGAAGATAAACAGATCATAAGTCTTGTGATGTGATATATGGGAATGTACCTCCTGGAAGGTGTTTTCTGTTGCTTGCCCATCTTTTCCCCTTGAGTTTGCCTGTAAATTTTATAGTCTGTTTTTTTTGTCTGAGTTCTTGCAGGTGACTTCCCCATATGGTGACAATCTGCATCACCAGGAAAACGTAACGCATGGTCAGTTTGCGTTCACAACCAAAGAGTCCGGAAACTATTTGGCATGCTTTTGGGCTGATGGGCATAGCCATGGAAATAAAGATATTAGCATCAACCTCGACTGGAAAACCGGAATCGCTGCCAAAGATTGGGACTCAATTGCCAAAAAGGAGAAGATTGAGGTAAGTTCTTGAAGAGGATTTACATTTTTTGCCCAATATATCCCAGAGAAAATAGGTTAGAAGTTTCCTCTCCTGTCCCAAAACTTCAGAATGGTTTGGAAAATTTCAGTGTATGTTTGCTTCAAAATCTTCAACAGGCTTCTAATAGCTTGTGCAATGAAATTTCACATTTTGTGTGACCTGTGTCATTGCCCTTGACCGGACGGTCCTTTGGTCAATCGGTCAGAGATTACAGTAAAACCTGTAACCTTGGACAGTTAAAAGATGCCGCAAACCGTTCTTCGAGTTTTGCATTGTAATGTCAGAACCTAAAGCTTGTCTTTTAATGACATCGAAAATTCTTGTTAACTTAGGGTGTTGAGCTGGAGCTCAGGAAGCTCGAAGGTGCAGTCGAGGCCATCCACGAAAATTTACTTTACCTTAAAACCAGGTAATTCCTTAGCCGTATGCTAAGAGCTCAGATCAATTTTTGCATTCCTTTCTTGCCAATTTGTGTTATCGAATTTCACTCTTTTGGACCGACCGTGCCCCACAGAGAAGCTGAGATGAGGACTGTGAGCGAAAAAACGAACTCACGGGTCGCGTGGCTTAGCATAATGTCGTTGGGAATCTGCATTGCCGGATCGGGTTTACAGGTAGTATACTTGAAGCATTACTTCCAAAAGAAGAAGCTTATATAAAAGAAGATCAAACACATCCATGGAATTGTTCCTGGTTGAAAAGAGTACTTTAACCTGTCCTCATCATTTTTCACTCGTTTTCATGCTGTAAAATTTTGTCCACTGATTTAGTTGTAGCTTCTCTGTTTAAACTTTAAATTTGTGTGTTTCATGTCCACTTTTTAACTTTGTATCGATTGAGGGCACCGATTAAATGTAGCGTGGAAGGTAAATCTGAGATTTCGTAATGTTTTTACGGATCTTAATCTTCTTTTTTTTTTTTCATATACATTTTATCTATTTAGGATGCTATGTTAATCACATCTTCAACACGTGCGCTAAATTGATAAACAAAAATATCTAATGCTGCTATTAATTTTGCCTATTGAAATCTATATGATGTCAAGATTACGAACCCAATCTGACCATCTCCTCTTAATCACACGACAGGATTAATTCCATGAAAATTAATGGGGCTGAATTTGTAATTGTGAAAACTTGGGGACTAAATCGCACACGTTTGATACTACAGGGGTCCTTTCAGCAATGAACGTGGATAAATCTCCCCAAATCCAATACAATTTAGGCCCAATTAGGTGCTCAGTGGCCCAACAAAAAACCCTAATCCAAGGAAAAGCCCTAAATTGAGTTCCTCTACATACGTGTATATATTATCGGACGGTCTCTTCTTCTTCGTCTCCTTTGGCGAATCTAGGTTTTTAGCCGCCGTTATCACTAGTGAGAGGGAAAATGCCGGCTGGACATGGAGTGAGGGCCCGAACCAGGGATCTGTTCGCGAGGGGTTTCAGGAAGAAGGGTTACATCCCACTGACCACGTACCTGAGGACCTTCAAGGTCGGCGACTACGTCGATGTCAAGGTCAATGGTGCTGTTCACAAGGGAATGCCCCACAAATTCTACCATGGACGTACCGGTCGCATCTGGAATGTCACCAAGCGCGCCGTCGGCGTCGAAGTCAACAAGCAGGTTCGAAAACTCATCCGTCAGTGTTTGCGCTGCTAGTGTTGCTTTGTGGTTCATTTTTTGGTTGGGTTTTGATTTCATCTTGTGGTTTCTGCCGAAAGTTTCACACTTTGTAAGTTAGGTTTGTGCTACATAGGTTTTAATTTCTGAAATGGGCGTTGTTTATAGATTCAATTATGCAAGTCTTGAATCGGTCGTCATAGGGAATGGCTGCTGGATTAAGTGTGAAATATTGCTTCTTTGATGCAAACCAGATTCGTAATTTGACGCAGGAAACTGAGAGAATTGTTTGTTTGTTCATGGTTTGTGCTTTTTTTATGCCTTTGCTCTGTGAAATGTCTTTGAGATTTATAGTGGCATTCATGTTTATCCATTACTTTTATAATGGTGAATTTATCTTTATGACCTCTCTGTGTGTGTGTGTCTTGCTCCTTGTGTTGCATTTCTTGTTGTAAAGTTATATTATAAACATCCATGAAATCATAGACGACCATCTTCTGTTTGTTGGCCTCATAGTTGACTGTTTTCTATAATTTATGGTAGTACTGTATTTATTCAACTTTTTAACTTTTTTATGGACTGGTACTGCATTTACTGAATTAGTCCAGCCAATTCTTTATCGCTGAACCAGGTATGGGTTTGTAACATGTTTTGGGACCTAACCTAACTATATGCCGGGTTTTCAGGTGGGTAACCGGATAATCAGGAAGAGGATCCATGTGAGGATAGAGCATGTGCAGCAGTCAAGATGTGCAGAGGAATTCAAGCTCAGGAAGAAGAAGAACGATGAGCTGAAGGCCGCGGCCAAGGCCAAAGGCGAGGTCATCAGCACCAAGAGACAGCCCAAAGGTCCCAAACCGGGTTTCATGGTGGAAGGTGCGACCTTGGAGACCGTCACTCCCATCCCTTACGACGTTGTCAACGATCTCAAGGGTGGCTACTAAGTTCTTCAGATCTTTTTGCAGATTGTTTTTTTCTCTCTTTTCGTTTTCATGTTTGACATTTGGTTTCTAGAAACTTTGTTTTCCTCCAACTCTTTAATTTATGTTTGGAACTCAGATTGAGACTGCAATTCTGATGTCATTAAGAGAAGGGTAAGTGATCTCTATGCTTTGTTCTATTTTTTAGCAAGTTTCAGAATGAGATAGTAAATAATTGTCCAAACACATTATATACGGCTGTAAAATCCATTTGCCTCACCATTACAGCAGTTCCTCGGATAAATCAATCTCTCCAACACCATAATTCAGTATATACTAAATGAAACATTCTAAGGGGTGAAAAATAATTATTGGTACTGAGATGAGAGAAGCTGATCAGTTTGCAAAATCAAAATTGATCAAATAAAAAGAAATTACAAAAAAAAAAGTAAACTATGATGATGGTGATGATGATGATCCATCAAGCAAGAACATTTCACACCATAATATATCAGGAAAAGAAAAACTCAACTTTACAAATCTCAGATTCCTACCACAAAACTTGAGAGAGGCCCTTCGTTTTCTTTCATTTTTTTTCCGACAGAACATCTGAAGCTTTTTTTTGGGGGGTCGAAAAGCCAGGCTTTTGTCTTACCGGGAATCTGTACATTTGCCATCCAACAAGAACCAAGACGGCAAAAATGATCATAATCATTTCTCGGACTCGAGAAATTGCACGAGTTCCACATAGCTCGGCCTTGGCCATTCTCTTATTCCCACACTCCCCTCTGTGTTTGAAGTTTCCGGGCCAAGTAACAACGCACCACTGCGTTCCTCGTGACCCGACATTGGCTCCTCCAAATCCCGCAATCCCCGCAGGGCCATGGAGTCTGAAACCGGGAAGTAGACAAGCAAGAAAATGGATACCGCTGCAAATGATAATAGAGACAGGAAAGCCAAGAAAGCTAGGGCTTCGAATAAAATGTCCTCGGGATTCGTCAGAACAGACAGACTGAGCAAAACAATTCTCAATGGAAAGAAACTCGAGACCGAGAATATCAATGTGTATACCCTCTTCTGCAGACGCTTATTAATGACCAATTTCAGTATCTGCCTTCCAAAGCAAAACAAGTAAGCCGTTAGGACAGTCGCAAAGACACCGAGAAGGATGGTGCTTAGGAGAGGATACGTGCAAAGGGTTATCCTGTCCTGATCTGTAATAACACGGGAATATGTTCTTGTGAAATAGTTTGGCAGCTTTCTCAAATAGCCGCTGCCATCTCTGTGTATGCGTGATCCGGTTATGATAACCACGAGTTGAAGAGCAAACACTGGGAGGCAATACAGAATCACATACCCTGCTGTTTTTGCGTTCCATTTTCCGGTCAAGGTCCCTGTCTCCATCTTCAAGGGAGCTCGTAGGAGAAACACGAGGGTGAGAAACAGGCAAGGTTCTGCAAACCCTAGATTGGAGACAATGTACCACTTGCAGGTGTTTTCCTGCCATTGCAGATCCAGCGAGTTCAATGGCCTTCCATCCCGTCTCAACAAACTTAATCGGAAAATCTCACCAAAGGCCCACCAGATGGCAAACAATATGAAAGCGATTCGGATAATCCAAGGACCACTGAAGTAACCAAGCTGAACATAATCTCGGTTATGGACATGCGATTGGAAATAGAAGGAGTAAGCGATGCAAAGTAAACCCAGGAGAATGAGAAGGGCGACTAGGCATATTGTCACCACGCCGAATGCATCGGAAGCTAATTTCGTCAGGGGCATCACCCGAATCACAGGAACCACGCATGCTCTCTGCCAGCACGGACAACGCAAGTTCTCTAGCAGTCAATGTGCCTCTTCTCCAGACTAATCAGAGATCAGTAGCTAACACATCAACAAATAAGGAGAAGATCGACCTTCAACTTCAAACCATATGGAAAGAACAAGGACCTCTCAACAACAGCAGCAGATTTAAGCAGTTGAAGTAGATACAAAAATGTAGTCTAGATCACACAAAAGGGCTTTTGTGATCTGACTCTTAGCGTTCAATCTGCGTACCACCTACATACACTGGGAAAAAATGATGAGAAAGTCAGCAACCTTCTTAGGATGTCCAAGATGGATTTGCAGGGACAATGGAATTTATCGATAACTACAGACATTTTAATAATACATGATATCGTCAATGTGAGTAAACACAACCATCCCATAATCCCGAGTTAAGTAGCTCTCTACTAGTTGATCAATGTAACAAAGGCAATAGGCAGTGAAAGGGAAAAAAAACAGAAAACGGCAAACACATTTATATACGCAATGTGAAAAACAAAAATCCTTGCCCATTTCATACATTCAAATTCTAGAAACGTAAAGAGTAGGCTAACTTTCAACAGGTCTACAAACATTTGCAAGACAGGAACTGCAGTACCTAACAAACGAAAACTTTGTGAAGCTATAATAGGAACACTTCTATAGGTTTATAGTTTAGATTCCTCTCTCAGCTCACCCCTCCAAATAAAATCTTTGTCGAACCACCACAAACCGAGCTCTGCAACTAAAATAGAATTGACCCTTCATAGTAAGCCCCAAAACAAATTTCAAAAACTCAAAACACAAGCATATATACACAATTTCCGACTAACATTAGACACCAGGAGAGGTATGAACAACGAAATCTTTCAAGAGAATAATGTGGAACTGATTCCGTGGAAACTACACTTGAGTTTAAAATAAACCAGAAACCAATCATATACACCAAGATCACTAGGTCAAAAGCTGTCAATGACAAGCAAAAACGTGTTCCAAAACTATACTTTGACATGCAATCTCCAGAAACATCGAGACAAAAAAGCTTATTCTCTTAACCAAAACTTGAATCCATATTTTGCACCCAAAACTAAGTCAACAACGTTCATATCCTTCTTCCAATAGGATGCCGTCATAATTTTTAATAAAAAAAAAGAAAAAATCCTAAACACCATTTGTAGAAAAAAACCGCTAGATTCCTCTTTCTCCCTCCATCCTCTTCCATCACAAAGACCATAATGAACACATGCAATAAATGCGTAAGTCCCCGGAACAACAAGCCAAATCCAGATCCAAATAGAACGATGAGAGCGTCAAATGCGAAAGTCGAAACAAAAAATTATCCAAATTGGAGCCGGAGAACAACCGCAAAACGGAGAAAAGCAGGTCAATGGGAAGCTTACCCAGAGGAGAATCCCGATCCGAGGAGCAGAGACGGAGGATCTAAGCGACGGAGAAGGAGATCCGCAAACCCTAACTCTGGGAGAGAGACGAGAGAGAGAGAGAGACGAAGGCAAAAACAGGGAGAGAGAGAAGTAGGACTTCGTTGGTGACAGGCTGTATCCAGCTGTGCTCGACCAAGGCCTCTCTATTCAGGTTCGGTTTTTTTTTTAACTTAATGGGAATTTCTCCCGTTCGGGATTTCTTTTTCCGACTCAGATCCTACGTGGCTCCACTTTGGCGGCGTTCGCTGCTTCTGTCTTTTTGCCTCGTGTTCTTTTTTTTCCACCTAAATAGATGGATTTAATTTGGATTTTATTATGTTTAATTAGATTTTATAATTATTTATTATTTTGGTTCAGATTTAATTAGGTTTTGTGTGGACCAAATCAGTTTTTGAAAATTATAAATCAAATTTAGTTCGATTTTAATCGGTTCAAAATTAATACAAGTATTTCATTCAAAAAATAAAATACACGTAAAAGGTGGTGGTGATAAATGTGTAAAAAAATAAATGAAGGTTTGAAAAAAGTCAACCAACTTTAAAAGAAAGTCTATTAATTTTTTTTATTACGTCAGTAGTGCGTAGCATAAAGTAGATCGATGCTAATATTTATTGGATTCTATTTCTTAAAACAATATTTTGAGGGATATTGCAAAAAATGGGAAAAATATATTTATTTACGACTCCAAAAGGTAAAATCATGTAATCTTAGTTGCAGTTAGAGAATGGATATCCCAAATTCTCAGGAATTCAAATGACTTTTATATATCTAATTACCAAAAACATCAATATCCGAATTTGAAAACCAGTGAAATAATGTTCGAATACTAATGGATATCCAAACCCCAGCATTCGAATTTATTTTTACACATATAAATTTATCGAGAATCAATTAAATATGTATTTACATCTAAATAACCATCTAACATTTATTCTAAATCTATCAACATTGAAATCAAAGATATAAAATAATAAGATTAATAATAACAACGAGAGGGCGAATCACGTTTAACTTTTAAATAATATAATTAAATTGAGAGTAAACTCGTAAATTAACTATTTTTGGGTATCCAAAAGTAATTACTTGTTATTTCACTATACTCATATTTCAAATTTGTATCTAATTTTTGGATTTTTCCATATCATCTTTTAAAATGTTCGGGTATCCGACCCATGGATCTAATAGATTTTTTCAATTTCATAATTTACTATTACCGGAATTTATATATTTTATATTCAGTTTTCGATTTTGTTTACTCACTCAGTTATGAATGATAAAAAAATAAAAATAATTATTGTCCTACTATTTAACAACTAACATTTTATATCAGAGCGATTCATTGCAAATTAATAACGAGTATATATCATAAGACATGGTTTTAATTTCCAAATGAGAGCCTCGTTAGCCATATCATCGAGGTTTTATCCGGACGATGCAATCAATTTAATCGGTCCAAATATCTCACGCGAATTGCAACTATATGTTTTATATATTCGCAAGTTGCATGGGTTGAATTATGTACGGATAAATTCGTTGTACGTACAATTGTAATCCACATGAGGTATTTGGATATTTTTGAAGATCTATAAATATTTAGAATAAGGGAAAATATATTTTTAAAATGTTAATACGAGAGTATTTAACAATTTTATTTAAAAATTTATAAAAAAATTTAATTTTTTTATTAAAACAATGGAAGCAAAGGACCTCAATATGGTAATACATTTTTATTTTAGTTTTTTATTTTAAATTTTAAATTTTTTGTTTTTAGAATTTTTTAAATCTAAAAAAATGAAATTTTTGGTTTTTAGTTGATTTTTTTTTAAAATTTTTTTGAATTTTTAAGAAAATTAAATTTTAAGAAACTTGATTACTAATTTGTTTGGTTTTTGAATTCACTCCATCCATTCAACTCCTTTAATACTTGAATTAGTTATCCTAATAATAAGTGGTTTGTATAAACGCCAAAACTGATTAATATTAATGATTTTCGTGGTTTGTACGATTTTCTAATTATAATTTGTTAGATGTCTTTACGATTCCACGTAAAAATAATATTTACAAAACAAAAAAATGTAAATTATTGTTGCTATGCTCGAAACAAAAAATCGTGATATAAATGTATTATCGATCTTTTGGTATATGTGTGTGCAGATTTTAGGTGTTCACGATGTGAGGAAAAACGATTACGATATATAAAAGTTGATCATATATAATAGTATGAATATTCCAAATCTGAATTCCATAATACATGGTCATTGGAGAGGTGAGATGCAATTAATTGCACCTGCTCCGGTTGAATGTAATTGGAAGCATTTTGATTACCAAATTTTTTTTTTTGTATTTTTTAAATATCAATATAATTTTGTAAACGTTTTTAAGGACAATTTCGTAGTTTTTCCATAAATATTAAAAGAGTATTTTTGTGATTCTGTCGTGAAGTCCGATATATGGATTCGAACCCTATTTATGAAATCGTGAAATCTAACCTATAGATATTAATAATAAAATATCCCACCATGTCCGAATTCGAATCCGTATAATCGTATAGTTTCATATCATGGGCGGGCCCCATTACAAACTATTTAGGCCTGGCCCAGTTACATGCCCAGTTTTAGATATTTAAGTGCGGGACCCGCAGTCTCCACGTGGCAGACACTTTGCGTCTCGCGTTTCGATTCCCCCTCTGCTGCGAAGAGTTAAGCGCGCTCTCTCTCTCTCGCGCTCATCGCTGAGTCTGTTCCTCTCTCCTCTCCTCCATTAATGGCGATACCTGGCATGTTGTTCTCTTTCTAGAGCGAATACAGCTGCTTCTTTTTCTTGGAAGTTTTATTTTCCGGAAATAGAGAAGACAAGGAAGCTCGAGTTGTCCGTCGTAGCCCTATTTTTGATAGGTTATTCGTAATTCTAGGAAGGAATCACTCAGATCCGAAAATCTCTCTGTATTTTCTCTCTCTGCAGAAAAACAAAGTTAGGATCTTTTTCCTTCTTTCTCATTGATTGCTGTTCATCTCTACCTGAACAATTTTGGCTTTGACTCGACTCTATGATTTCGTGAAATTTTTTTTTTCTTAAAAAAGAACTAGTCGCGGATGACATTTTAACGGCCTTCAGTCCGCCTTTATCATCGTTTATTTCCATTTCAAAATCATTTCCTTCTATCTGAAATTTCCCAGTTTCGTCAGATCTACAAAATCCTCTTCTTTTGCCTTCTAGATTTTGTTTAAACTTGATTTTAGAGTCGGGGTTTAGAAAATTTCCAGAATTGTTTTATACGGTCTTTAGATTTCTGGTAGATACTTCAGCTTTATTTTCAAGGGAGCTTTTTATTCGTTTTCTATTTGGGAATGGTCTTCGACATGGTTTCTTACAATCCATAACTGGTGGTGTTCTGTGTTATTGATGCTGGTGGGTAATCTCATTTACAGAGAAGCTAGATTTTGCAAAGAAGAAGAAGCATACGGGTAGCATTTAAATCATACAGTTTCCTGGCTGGGATCAGGAAACTGTGGAAAATTATGGGCTGCATTTGCTCGAAAGGAGCACGGGCAAATGGTTATGTAGAGAACACCGATGTTAAGGATACAGACTTGCCTAAAAACTCCAAGAAGCAATCTGTTTCTTCGAGGAATGGCAATTTTGAATCCGAGGAAGCAGGCCTCAATGGCAATGAATCCACCTTGAGGCTAATTCCCAATGATGGGAAAAACGCTTGCTTGATGCCTGTTTATTATGATGAAGCGGAGAAGAAGGATGGTTTTGAGAGAAAATCTTCTAAATCTATATTCCAGAGACGGCCTGTCAATGATGTTGGTACAGGGAATAATGTAGGATCATTGCAGCCAGGGATGACTAGAATCAATAGTATCTCCAATGGAGAACGAGGGGCTCAGGTTATAGCTGGTTGGCCCTCATGGTTGGCTGCTGTTGCAGGGGAAGCCATCAATGGATGGATTCCGCGCAAAGCAGATTCATTTGAGAAGTTGGAGAAGGTGGGGTTTTGTTTATTTATGTTTACCCTTTTATGTTATTTGGAACTTCAATTGCTGTTTGGAACAAGGAGATCTGCCTTAAAACTTGACATCATGCAATAGTTCTAGTTATGTTCTTGTCTTGAACAATTTATTTGTCTTGCGTATGAAGAAAACTGGCATTGCCTTTGTTGCAGATTGGTCAAGGGACGTATAGCAGTGTATATAAAGCTCGTGACCTTGAATCAAACCAGATAGTTGCACTGAAGAAAGTGCGGTTTGCTAATATGGATCCTGAGAGTGTTCGTTTCATGGCAAGAGAAATAATCATCCTTCGTAGGCTTGACCATCCAAATGTCATGAAGCTGGAAGGATTGATCACTTCAAGGGTATCTGGAAGTTTGTACCTTGTATTCGAATATATGGATCATGATCTCACAGGACTTGCTGGAACCCCAGGGATTAAGTTCTCCGAGGCACAGGTAATATCATGGAGGGATGCAACTTCATTTTGGTCTTTTACATGACTAGCATCAACTAATGAATGAGGATGCGTGTGTGGTAGTTGCAATATGGTGTGATGGATTCTTATGTAAAATGATCATATTCTTGTAGATAAAATGCTATATGAAACAATTGCTTCAAGGGCTAGAACACTGCCATAGTCGTGGCGTTTTGCATCGTGACATCAAGGGATCAAATCTTCTGCTCGACCACAACAGCAATCTCAAGATTGGTGATTTCGGTCTGGCTAATTTTTTCAGGGGCCACCAAAAGCAGCCTCTCACAAGCCGAGTTGTAACTTTGTGGTTCCGCCCACCTGAGCTTCTGCTTGGGGCTACAGACTATGGAGTTACAGTCGATCTATGGAGCTCCGGTTGCATACTTGCAGAACTGTTTACTGGAAAGCCTATTATGCCTGGAAGAACAGAGGTATTTCCTTTGCAAAAACAGCCGTTATGTGCCTCAATTTTGTCCCTTAATGTTAGAACCTACAGTCTCTGCTAAGGAACATGTGATTGATCAGTATACCTTTCACGTTAGCTTAGTGTGACATGTAAAACAGTGTTAAATTCACAGATCCTTTTTATTTTTAATGTATAAACAGGTGGAACAGCTCCACAAGATCTTCAAACTATGTGGATCACCTTCCGAGGAGTATTGGAAAAGATCGAGGTTGCCACATGCAACCATCTTTAAACCTCAACAGCCTTACAAACGATGTGTGGCTGAGACGTTCAAGGATCTTCCCTCTTCGGCTTTGGCTCTCTTGGAGGTCCTTCTCGCTGTAGAACCAGATGCCCGTGGAACTGCATCCTCTGCCCTTCAAAGCGAGGTAAAACTATGAATTTTACTACGCTGTGAATTTGGGCTTTTATATTTGTTGTACTTTAGATCATTTTTCTTTTTCCTGTCAAAATTTGCGTATACACCATTATTTCTAGTACTTTCCCAAGGGTTTCTAAAAAATTGCAAGTTTTGACATAATAACCTTAGAAAACATAGGTTTGTAGCGTTCCAATGTTAACATTAGTTTTAGCTCGGTTTTGCTCAGCTGATTGTTATGTACAAAAAGTCTTAAAATTCCCTCCTCAAACTATTCTTTTCTGTTTCTTTTTCCTTACTTCAGTTTTTCACCACAAAGCCTTTTCCAAGCGATCCGTTAAGCTTACCAACATACAAACCAAGAAAGGAATATGATGCTAAGTTCCGAGACGAAGAAGCAAGACGGTAAGATAAGGATTTACTCTAATATCATATTGTACAAATTACTAAGACCACAAGGTTTCTTGAAAACCTTTCTGCGGGGTAAATATTTTTTAGTCTTTGATTCATCAGCTTCTTTCTTTATGTGATCTCAGTTTCTCACAACGTCCCATTTCTGCAGGAAAAAAGGTGCGAACAGTAAAGGACAGAATGAGACAAAACGGGCATCTAGAGAATCTAAAGCTGTACCAGCTCCAGATGCCAATGCCGAGTTGCTGACATCAATACAGGTACTTCTGCTAGAGTATACATGCTATATATCCATAAATGGGCCTATATGTTTAGGATTACATGCTTCTTATTGTTTTTCTTTCTTGTTTGATCTTATATTTTCTTTTAAAGAAACGTCAAGGACAAGGTAACGCGACAAGTGTCAGCGAAAACTTCAATCGCGAGGAAGATTCTGGTGCTGGATTCCGAATCGAACCTCAGAATGGAACAGCCTTTGGGTATTCGGTTAATATGAATGCAAACGGAGATGGGCTTCTCGGTTGTTCAAGCCATTCGAAAGAACTGAGAACACAGAGGTCTTTCGTCCAACGTGGGGCAGCTCAGTTGTCAAGATTCTCAAATTCGGTAGCCGCTAGGGATGGATCACGTTTCGGAAGTATACGAGACACGATAGTGAATCCAGCATATGGAAGGTACAACCATGGAGGCGATGGTCAGTCTTCAGAGAAGCTTGATTGGTCTCAATGTTTACCGGGAAAATCCAAAGCCCCCATGAAAGATGAACAACAACCCTGTGGAACGGTAAACAACGAATCCAAGTGTATCGTTCATCGTTCTTCTTTTGCAACAATCGGGTCTCACTGATTGCATTTTGTTTTACTTGAAATGAGGAATCAGGGCTATGGTGGGAAGAACGGGCGAATGCATTACTCGGGACCCTTGATTCCTGCAGGAGGAAACTTGGATGAAATGCTGAAAGAACATGAGAGACAGATCCAGTTGGCTGTTCGAAGAGCTCGGGTGGACAAGACGAAGAAGGATGACAGAAACGGACAAAGCCAAATGTTGCTGGCGGCGGCCAATGGCCGGTAATATCAGGTGATCTCTCTGGAAGTTTCTAGAGGAAAATTGCACTGGAGAGAATCTGATGGCTCTTCACCTTGCTTTCTGGTGTTCCGAAGGAGAAGAAAGGAAAAGGAAGGAAAGGTAGGGTTTTGTATTTGTACAGCTAATTGATCTGGTTCTTTATGTAAAAAGAGGAATAGAGATCATCATCTGATTTATAACCCATTCTTTAAATCTATAATCTCATTTTCCATGTTTCCCCTTCTTGTGAGTCTTGCCTTATAGGTTTTACCAATGTTTTGTTTCAGAATCAATGTTCAAAGCATGATACGAGTGTTTAATACATAATCCATTTCTGGATTTGGTTCAATCCAAAAACCAGAGGGTTTCAACTAGAATATTTAACAACTTTGGTGAACCAGCGATCAGATTCAGGTCTGTTGTCATGAATCTATCAATAAATTGCGTTAACAAGTTATTTTTCATGGCAAAACGAATACATATACTTTTCAAAAAAAAAAATCTCACAGGCCCACACAACAAAACTAAACTAAACTGAAAGCTCTTTTTGCTTGCTGCAGAACCTAAGCTGTTAGCTGTTGTGTCTTTCTCATAGTGCCTTCCCTTCTTGTCCAAGCATACACCCAGTTACCCAACCTTACGTACCTACCTTATTCTCTCATTATAATAACATCAACACTAAGGGCCATGATGATATTCATGCTTGCATCCATATAGTTTCTCCTCTGCACAACATAATTTTCTCCATCCGAAATCAAACATGAGGCCTAAAACACAACAAACCTTCAATCTGAAAGTTATCCTTGTCTGTCTCCTTGTTACCTTCTTCCTCATCTTCATCTTGAGATCGAGTCTGACATACTCAGATGGAAACCAAACTCGGATCTTGCCCACGTTTTCCACGAAACCTGTGGAGTGCGGTGATGCTACCAACAAGATTCCACGTTCCATCGCACAGGCCCTGATACATTACTCGACTACGACCATCACACCACAACAGACACTCAAGGAGATATCAGTGACTGCTAAAGTACTCGAGAAGAAGTCACCTTGCAACTTCTTGGTGTTTGGCTTAGGCCATGACAGTTTGATGTGGAGCTCACTCAACTATGGAGGGCGGACGGTTTTCCTGGAAGAGGATGAAGCCTGGATAGGACAGATCAAGAAGCGGTTCCCGATGTTAGAATCTTACCATGTAACCTACGACAGTAAGGTTAACCAGGCAGATAATCTCATGGAAGTCGGGAAAGGGACAGAATGCACGGCCGTGGATGATCCTAGGTACTCAATGTGCCAACTGGCTCTAAAGGGTTTGCCTAAAGAAATCTACGAGACTAAGTGGGATCTAATTATGGTTGACGCACCAACTGGTTACTACGATGAAGCCCCAGGGAGGATGACTGCCATATACACAGCGGGTATGATGGCACGGAACAAGGATGAAGGGGAAACAGATGTGTTTGTTCATGATGTGAACAGGGAAGTCGAAGACAAGTTCTCTATGGCTTTCCTGTGTGATCGGTACATGAAGAAACAGGAAGGAAGGCTAAGGCATTTCACCATTCCGAGCCATAAGGATGGTTCAGACAGACCATTTTGTCCCGACTCCCAAGTAAACCATGCATGATGCCTGCTTTCTTCTGATCCTCCCACTTTTGCCCTGCTGTTTTCTACACAGACATCAAAGAGACTAGACAATAAGCCTAAGCTAGTTAGAATTTCTTACTATGTGAAACTACTGTATACTTTTTTTTCCTTGTGAGAAATCAATGGCCAATTTCTGGCTATGCACAAGACTCGGAGACTCCTAACACCTTATTTCTAACAAGTCAGTGTTACCATTTCACACTACAAATCTCTGGAAGGCAAGATATCAAAAAAGTTGGTCAAGTGAAAAACACATCAGGAGAAAAAAAGAACATATAACACCAGAGTGAGTAAACAAATGAACCAAGGCCGAATGACATAATAAGAACGGTCGATATTACTTCTCGGTAGCCGATCAAACAAATATAAAGAAGAAATCTGATAGACTCCCAGAGTCTTATCATAAACTAGAGGTGAAAACTGTCTTAATAGCTCATATAAAATACCAAACATCCGGCAAAAGTTTGACCCTTTCAACTCATTAAAAATCTCTGACTTGTAGTTGAAACATGTTCCAGGCTTCTCTCTTGAACTACCTGTCATGTGGCACGGAAATTTTTAACAGAGGGTAGAAATTTGAATAAGAGCGATGAGAGTTCACCTTATGGGAGGAGAGGAAAACAGTGACTTAGCATAGATAATTAGATATTAGAGCTGATGGGTACCAAGTCCAATGAACTGTGGAAATTTATAGAGCTATTACCTGGTCGAAAAGATGGCCGTTGGATTGCCAGGAGATGGAGGGTTCTGCTTCAGGAGAGCGGCCTGTTGACCAGCTTTAGCAACAGCATCAGGATGGCTTGCAGACAAGATTTCAACTTCTTCAAGACCAAGTTGCCGCTTGATCAAGTCCACATTTGTCTGAAGGACCTCAATCTCCCCGAAAGGCAACTTCAAATCCAGAGCCTGAGGTCCAAGAGCTATTGCCTCATCTTTCTTGAATCTTAGGAAAGGCATACAAAGCTTCTGGATTTGTTTAAAGTTTTCTGCCTGTCCATCCTTCTGCAGTGTCTCCTTTAGTTGCTCTAGTGTTTCTGCATCAGGGGCAAAACTATGATTCTGCTGGTCAAATTTGCTTTGTAGAATCTTCAGGCAATGAGCTTTCCATCCATCGAATTGCTCATTCACATATACTAAGCCCCTTAACTTGTCCTCTGTCAGTGATGTTACAGGAGCACCTTTCTTAGGGGCCTTCTTGGAACCCAGGAGCTGCTTTTGAAGAAGTTTTCTCATCAACACAATGGAATCTTGTAAATATTTGTTAGCGCTCTTGAGCACCAAATCGGGCTCATTTGATGTTGGCCAACCTCCTAATACTGCAAAACCTTCCTTTTTCAAAAGCTTCCTCCAAACGTATTCTGCATAGTGGGGACAGATTGGAGTAATAAGACGAGTCTGCACATCCACAAATCTCAATACCAAGTCCCGGTTCATGCCACTATTGCCACAAGAGAGCCTGTACTCATCCCTAGCAGCTTGCAAGTCATAAAATCCATTCTTAAGTGCCTCCCTGAACAAGAAGTTGTCATAAGCTTTTTCAGTCAATCTGATAGCAATGTTTATGTCATTTTCAAACACTTTATCAGCATATGTAGATGGAGGGCTTGCTCTCAGCGATGATTCAGCAGATAGAACTTCCTTAATCCACGCAATTTCTTTTGTAAGCCGCAAAATTGCAGCATTTGCAGTCTCAAACACAAAGTTTGCATCGTCAACACCATCACCAGCATCAGCCAAACTGAATCTTGTGGGATCTGACCCAAATTCTTCAATGGCCTGGCGAAGAGTTCTGAAATTTCCAGTTGACTTGGACATTTTTTCAGAATTCAACATAATATGTCCATTGCATCTGATTCCACGTGGCCAGTGGTGCCTAGCCATAATTGCAACGTGGTTGTAGATGAAAAATGTCAAATGATTCTGAATAAGATCCTTTCCTGAAGCTCGGAGATCTAAAGGATACCAGTACTCAAACTCCTGCTTCATCTTACTTAAAAGGTCTGATCGGATATCTGAAGATTTTGGATATGTACCATCACAGAAGAGGTAGTCCCACACTTCATCAGTCATTTGCTGAGGACGGACTGTAGAGGTACTGCCTCCATACATGTCATCGCCATGTAAAATGTGAGCAACTGTATAATAAACCATATAAAGAGAGGAATCAGATAAGGATTCCACAAGGAACTGTTCATCCCACGGAATGCGTGTCCCAAGACCAAAAGACCGCGAGCAAGCCCACTGATTTAGCCAACTCAAAGTGTGCTCGAAGCCATGTCGAGTTTCTTCAGAATAGAGATTCATGTTTGCTAAGCATTCCTCAGCCATTTTCCTCCATTCTGATTCACCATATGTTAAGTACCACTGATCAGTAAGGGCCACAACACATTCATCACCTGATCTTGACATCACAAGCTTTTCAGGCTCACTGTAAAGGATTGCCTCACCAGACTCTATGAGCTTTGACTTGATAAGTGGCTTAATTTCTTGGACTTTACGACCTGCAAACTCTCCAACGAGCATGGTTCCGTCAGTGAATCCTTTGAGATAAGTCAATCTCTTCGCCTCAGCGAGCTTTTCCTTGTCATTCTGGCTTTTTATTTTCAGATCCAAGCAAACCTTCTCCGCAGCCTTATCCCCAAATTCTGGAATGTTGATAATAGGTACAATATCAAAGGGAACCACCCATTCATCTTTCACACCATACTTTGCACGAAGAGCCGGCTTTGATTTCAAGTCATGCAAAGCCATATAATCATCAGGAGCATCACTAGGCACACTAGTAACGATGCCAGTACCTTTGTTGGTAAGAATGGTCAACATGGGTAGAGCATAGATGGTCTCGTTAAACGACAAAGGAGACCTCAAAGGGAGTCCAATCAGATCATAACCGGACAACTCAACTAGGCAAGAAGGCTTCTGAGGAATCTTCGAGAAATTCTGGTAGGCAAGGTTGAGTGCTGCTCTCTCAGTAAGGATGAAGACATCAGTTTCATTGATTTCAAAAGCTCCATATTTTCCGTCAGGCAATACCCAAGCATTTGTTTGCCCAAACATGGTCTCAGGCCTCAGAGTTGCTGCAACCAAAAAGACTCTCTTGCCTTGCAGAGGTGCAAATTTTGGAGGGAATGGCTGCATTACTTCCATCTTAATAAGAGTATATTCTTGAGGAAGAACACCTTCACCTGAAGCACGGTCATGATCAGCACATGGCTGGCCATCTAATGGTGAAAATATTGTGTACCTACGATCTTTAACAATCTTCCCCATGGATTTCAACTTTCTCATCTGCCACCTCACAAAAGAATCGAAAAACGGGTTCACATCGGTTGTGACAAATGACCGTCTCCAATCACAACCCAGTCCAAAAGCCTTGAGATCATCCACAGCTAATGGAGGAAAGTAATACAGCCATTTATATGGATCTTGGAACTCTGCTATCTCGCTGTCTGTTAGACCAACACTGCGCATAATTTCCCATTGATGCAACTGCCCACCAGATTTAGCTGCCACCTTAGATTTCTTTCCCCTGAACTGATCTGGCAATGTCGGAGCATCACCACTGTCATCCTGAACTTCAGCACCTTGTTTGCTGTTTTCTTGCTCTACTTCGGCAGAGAACACAGGGGGGTTTCCATACTGCTGGATCTCACGAGCAAGCTTGTCGGCGGATGCCTTAATTGGCATACCAGTACAGTGAAAACCAAAAGGAAGCAGCACATTAGCCCCTCTCAACCTATGGTACGCAGAAGCAAACTCAATCTTCGAAAGAGAGAATGCGTGACCAAGATGAAGATAGCCATTCATATATGGAAACGGGAAGGTGGAGAAGAATTTTTCCCCAGGCTTCGGAGCACTCTCACGAGCTTCAGCCCTGAACACACCTGCAGCTTCCCACTCAGGTTGGACCTCATTCTGAATCTCGAGGAGCAGATCTCTCCTCGCAAAGCTTTTTCCTTCGGACGCCATCTCGTGAAACCGACAGTACCTGTCCAAAAACAGAACTGCCCAATTGAGACAAAACTAACAAACCAAATCCAATGCCCGATATCCAAAAACTTCAATTACAACGCTCAGTATCCAGAAACCAAAGAAATGTATACTTCAACACAGAGAACACGCATCGCAGAAATGAAAACCTGGATTCACATCTCATCAGAACCAACTGGCTCCACACATTTTACTCAAAAAAAAGTCTGAAAATTGAACGAGATTCACCAAAAGAGAAGAACCAAATCTGATACCAAAAATCAAATGCCCATGGTGAAATGAAAAGAACATGGCAACACCAAAAAAAATCGAAATTTTGGCCTCAAGGCGCGAGAATCACCTGTGGCACGAGCTCGCCGGAGAAGCGAAGCGATTACACGCCGACAAAAACCGGAAACTAGATAGAGATCGAGCCAGTGAGAGAATCCTAGGGTTTTTCGTCCTGTGAAATTGCGGCGGAAAAGAATTGTAAGAAACCAATCGGGAAAATCACGCAAATGACCAGATGGGTCGCTAGTATCCTTTGGACACACCAAAAAAGGTAGAAATGTCTGTTTTACCCTTAAAAAAAGAAGGAAAAACGTTACCACGCTCCATATCTCAAAGCATCGCAACATTTGCGTCGGCAGTTCATTCAATACCGGTTTAACATCTGCTTGTTTTTTTTTTCATTTTTTTATTTTACTGATATATAAAAATAAATTAATAATAATATAAAACAAATAAAGGCATAAAAATTCTCTTTCAAAAAATATTTATAATATTAAAAACGGGATGAGGGCAAAACTAAGATATATATGAATTAAATAAAAGTTAAAAACTGTAAGAATGAAATATTTAATATTATTTAAAAATAAAAAAATGAGAATAAATTCCATTTTAAGTGGTGGGGTTCATGGCCCTCGATTGCCACGACAACAGAAACTCTTTCTTCTTTGAGGGAAAAAAGGGGAGGGATTTTCCGGGAAAATTTTCCATTTTCCGTCGAAAGATCGCACTTTGAGATATCATGAGCAACGAGTAGTAAGTTTCTCTTCCCCTCTTCTGCATTGTCTCTACTCGTAATCGTTCTACTTTTTCTTTGTTACTGTGTAGAATTCAAATCTCTACGTTTTGTTTCCTTTCTTGGGTTTTTTAGCGATTATCTGTTCAAGCTTTTACTAATCGGAGACTCTTCGGTCGGGAAATCGTGCCTGCTTCTCAGATTCGCCGTGAGTTTGACTTTTTTTTTTCTTCTCTAATCTTGGCTTAATTGATTACGTTGTCGGAATCACCCCTTTCTCCTTTGTTCTTGTTCTGTGAGGAATTCCCTTTCTGTCTGTAAATTATTGTCTTTTTCATGAACGGTGATGAATGATTGTGACTTATGATTATCTTCCTTCATGATTCCAGGATGATGCTTATATCGACAGCTACATAAGTACTATTGGTGTCGACTTTGTAAGTATTTACACTGTCATACATCTATGTATGTGTGTGTATATACCAAATTAGCATGTACAAATGGGAAATTTTTGGAAATGGGCCAACAATGTATGTTCATATGTATTTGATGGTTCAGTGGAATTGAGATCAACTTACAATGTGACATCTCCTTTTGGCAGAAAATTAGGACCATCGAGCTCGATGGGAAGACTATAAAGCTGCAGATCGTGAGTAAATCTCTTATTTCTTCGAAATACTTGCTGTAATCTTTCACTATGCTCAAATGTTTAGCCATTTCTGAGATGACACTGGCATGTATTCGTTAATTTCCATCATTGTCTCGGTCGTTGGGTTTTCTCTTTATACTCATTCCATATTCACTCGTTTTTGCTAATTTGCCATCCGTCTTCCATGAGTTAGTTCCTTAATCTTATTGTTGCTGCTCTCTGCAGTGGGATACTGCGGGGCAGGAGCGTTTCAGGACCATCACTAGCAGTTATTACAGAGGAGCTCATGGGATCATCGTAAGAATCTCTTCCTCGTGATACTTCTGGTTACGGGTATTATTATTGTTTCTGTGGACTATTTGTCCATGCTGTGTCATTGTTTGATCAATATCTTTGTGTAACTGTGAAACATATATGCATCATATGGACAAGTCATAGGCATTCTGATTTTGTTTAAAGAATCACAAAAATTATTTTTCACTTGACAGATTGTGTATGATTGTACTGAGATGGAGAGCTTCAACAACGTGAAGCAGTGGCTGAGTGAGATAGATAGATACGCTAACGAAAGCGTTTGCAAGCTTCTAATCGGAAACAAAACTGATCTGATTGAAAACAAAGTTGTTACCACCGAGGCCGGAAAGGTAAAGAAGCTCCATAAGCTTTTTTGTTTCTATTGATGGTTTTCTACTCTGCATCTGTCCTCTATTTATAATTCCTTTCTTATCTTTACTTATATCATATCCTTTCTCATCCGGCCATTGCTGTATGTTACTAAGCGTATAACCATGTTGTGACATGCTAATCATCAAGAAGGTCATGCCTCATTTTATAGCCGCGAACTTCACCATACACTGAATTGGATTATCGGGCAGTTGCCGTTATTGGTCCATCAGGGGTGTGATATGGCTTTCCTGAATCTTATATGCTCAAACTGTAGGCCCTTGCTGATGAGCTCGGGATTCCTTTTCTGGAGACGAGTGCCAAGGATGCTATCAACGTAGAACATGCTTTCTTAACCATTGCTGGAGAGATCAAGAAGAAGTATTATCTCTATCTTTATCTTCCTTCCCTGAGATTTCCATATTGTTTTGCCCTTTCCATAGTGAATTATATTTTTTGTGTTTTTAACATTTTGAAACGAGATAGATGCATGATTCTTGACCCATTCTGCCTCCATGAAGCTGACCCTCATAGACTGGACTTTCCCAGGAAATGAACTATTCACAGGAACTGTTGTGAACTCGAATCAATGTTTCGAAATTTTTAAGAATAGGAACAGTTTTAGCCCTTGCTGTCTGTGGATAGGTCATGATAAAATTTCCCAAGCTTCTGTGGTCGATGAAACTGTCAATGCATTGAAATTCATGATCATATATTTCTCATACCGCGAACCCGGTTCCCTGATCAGTGGATGCCCTTTTTTTTCGTAATACTCGGTGAAGTGACTCTGATCCTATGTTAACTCTATACCGCAGAATGGGAAACCAGCCGAGTGTTAACAAGGCGTCGGGGACAGTCCAGATGAAAGGACAGCCTATCCAACAGAACAGCGGTTGCTGCGGTTAGTCTCTGTAAATCTTTACGACTTATCTGTTCTTCTCTTCTTTTATCCGTACGCAAGCTCTTGAAAAAAAAACCCTACTTCTGTCTCTGAAACCTGTTAGAATTGTGCCCTAAGTGCTTTAGAGAAGTTCCTTTGTTTTCCTAAGGGATCAAACTCTTGACGTTGTTGTGTATGCATGCATGCATGCATGTGGCCGAACACTCTTATGTTAGCGCGTTTGTGTTAATTTGTGAATTTCACTTGCATTAGACAAAAAAACTTAGCTCTTTTAGTTTTATTTCGGTTAGAGTTTTAAATTGAATAGAATATCGCGTTCACTATATTTTCTAAATCGTCCATCAAAAAACATTAAATTGTTAAATGGTATCTACACGAACTTTTCCAAAAATTCAATTTCAGTTATATGAAAATAGCACGTACAAAACATTAATATAATTGGCTCAAGTATTGAACCATATTATCGTAAATACTCAAAAACGATTTCGCTACACGAAAAAGATTTATAACTCAAACTCAAAATCGATAAGAATCATTAAACTACATGGTGAATCATCACATTCCTTTTCTTTTTTTTATGCGAGCTGTTTGGATGATGAAACATTAAACTCCGCATTCACCATTCACCATCTTCTTCGTCGCCATTCTTGCTCGTACTACTGCCTCTTCCATGCGCGTGTTTCTCACGAGGAGTTCGCAAGCAACGTAACGGCCTTCGCAAAGAATAGGACAGAACCGCACCGATTAAGATAGCCACAACGATCAAACTTCACTTCAAGACGCAGTTCTGTTTCACTAATCCAAAGGGTTCGTGTTGTTTTCCTCGTTTATGGTTTTAAAAATAACAAAGATTATAAAGTTTGAGTTTATTTTTGAGTAAAAAATAAAATTAGAATTTTATTTGATAAAAAACAAAGTTCAGGTTGTTCAAAGTGGATAAAACAGTTGGTTGAGTAGGTGACTGATATCTTGGGTGAAATTTAAAAAAAAACAAAGTTCAGGTTTTATTTTGTTAAAATTGAAAAGTTCAAATATTTTTTGTGATTTTCTTTTCTTTTTTTTATAAGGGAACCAAATTGCAAACGAGATGGAAAAAATTAGTACGAAATTTGGTAAATTCCGATAAAGGAAAGAGAGGAAGAGAATAGAAGAGGAAACAGTCGATTGCAAAAAAAAAAAAGTGAAATCTTAAGAGTACGGCCCTTGTTACCAAAAAAGAAAAATGGAAATTGAAAACCCATTACAAAAAAAAAAGGTAACAAAAGGAATATGTTTTGTACGTGTAAAATCTTCAACTACATTATTCCACGCAATTATCGTGTATTTAATTTAATCCTTACAAATTCACATTTAGGATGTGATTTACGTTTATGGAGGTGGTCGTTTCCGCCCGAATGGAAATGAACAGCATGATATACCAATTTTACTATATTAATTAGAAAAAATTCCAAAAAAAACACTGAAATTTACAATTTTGACAAAAAAATACTGAATTTTTTATTTTATCAAATAAATATTAAACTTTTTAAGTTTGACAAAATAAACACTTAACTCTTCTACTATTGTCAAAATAAACAAAATGAATGACGCGGTCTAATGAGATGCAAACACGTCAGATTATTTTACTAATTTTTTTTTTACAATCGAAAAAAGTTTATGTATTTTTTTTAGATCACTAAAAAAGTTCAGTATTTTTTTTTTATAATCACAGAAAAGTTTATGTATTTTTTAGATCATTTAAAAAATTCACTTATTTTTTTAGATTCGTTAAAAAAGTTTAATGTTTAATTGATAAAAAATAAAGTTCAAACTTTTTTTTGTCAAAATTGTAAAGTTCAGTATTTTTTTTGGGATTTTTCCTATTAATTATTACTAAAGTTTAGTAAAAGACAGTGATTAGTCTTTTAAACTTCATTTACTCTTTACCAAAAAAAAACACTTAATTTACAGACAGCCGAGAACTAATGTAAAATTTACCTTTTTTTTAGACCAACAGATCAAGTGAGAAGAATTGGCCCAAGTGCTAATACAAAATACACCCCCAAGACAAATCTCAAAGGCAATTTTGAAGAACCAATTAAAAATCCGACACATAATTAAGCAAAAAAAAAACTATTTTTGGAAGGAAAAAAACATCGGAGAGATGCAACAAACCATCTTCGAGTAAAGAGGATCATACCATATAATAGATAAATCGTGATGCAAACAATAACTTGAAAGGCAAATAGAGCCTGGGCTATGTTTTTCAAGATGAAGAGCAACACGTCTTCTTGGTGTTGGTTTCAGAAGAAGCAGAGACATCGATGGTCTGCCCTTCTTTGATGCTGGCAGCAGCCTCAGTTGTCTGGTCGGACGATATCGATTTCTTGCTAATGATCCTGTAAATCTCCGAGAGTATCGTCTGGAAAGCCTTCTCGACATTCGTTGCTTCGAGGGCCGATGTCTCGATGAAAGAAAGACCTTCTTTCTCCGCGTAGCTCTCAGCATCCTCCGTGGCTACGGCCCTGAGATGTTTCAGATCAGTCTTGTTCCCGATCATCATGATCACGATGTTGGAATCCGCATGGTCTCTGAGTTCTTTCAGCCACCGGCTCACATTCTCAAAGGTTGTCGGCTTGGTGACATCGTAGACCAAGAGAGCCCCTAGAGCGCCTCGGTAATAGGCGCTGGTTATCGCTCTGTAACGCTCTTGACCCGCTGTGTCCCATATCTGAGCTTTCACAGTTCTTCCCTCTACCTAAGAACATAATGCACACTTTCAATAAGGTTTAGTGTTAACCAAATTAACCGAAGAAAAAACATGACAGCCACCAAATGCAGCATCGGGTATGGTGGGGCAAAACCCAAAACTTAACACGAGTTAGATTATGCAGAAATGACATGATGGAAACAGGAAACTAACTACTACAAACTTGTGCATGGATGCAATGCAAAGTGATGATTGGAGTTTGCAACATATCTAGGACTGAAACGGGTGTCATATGATATGATATTGAAACCAATTCATTCGATCTTCAGATAGGGTGATCATCATCATACCCATTTGGGTCTGATATTATATGCAAACCTGTAAGCTACGTGTACAGAGCTATGAAATTGAAAGGCATTGCGACCGACACGACATCAGAGTGAAGAGTCGAAAATGCAAATGAACAAATCCTTGATTCGTCCAAAATCGAAGTTAGATCTGGTGAAATCTAAAGCTAAATTTAGTAACAACGCAATATTATGTACACCATATCAGATTAGAGAGAACTCCAGAAAATACAAAAGCCTTACTCAAATCAGACACAAGATCTGCTACTTCCATTTCCATAAAATTGGCAAGACAATAGAGCATGCGTAAAACGACTCGTGAAGCTACCAAAATTGGAAAAACTGGGAATCGTTTTCCAAAATCATCTAAAAACAGACAATTTTGGTGAAAAAGCATAATCAAATTCATGGATCAGACTCAACCGGATGAAATAAACATACATACGGACACAAACACACATATTGTCAACTCTATCTGTCACTGATATGTGTATCAAACCATAAACAAGGCCGAAACCGAGCCGGATGTCGGTACTATCGGTGCCTGCTTTGCCGAAATTCTGCGAAACCCAGAACCCATCCATATGATACACATATAGAGGCAAGGCCATGTAAAATACACACACGAAGAGATCACCATGGAATGAGTACTTTCTACTAAAAAACAGAATAATTTTTACTGAATCAAGTAAAACACACACACACACGAGAGCATGAAAGGGCAGTTCTTCCGGATCCCAGAAAATTCAAAATAAATCAAGACAATAATAGAATCGAATCCAATCCTAGATCAACAAGCACTCGAGTAGTCCATGTAGATAAGTGTGTGTACTTGGAGGGTACGAGTAGCGAATTCGACACCGATGGTGGATTTGGATTCCAAGCAGAACTCGTTGCGAGTGAATCGAGAGAGGAGATTCGACTTCCCAACACCTGAATCTCCGATCAAAACCACTTTGAACAAGTAATCATACTCCTCGTCCGGTCTTCTCGCCATCGTTTATCGCTTTACACAGAGGAACCAGGAAGAGAGAGAGAGAGAGAAATGGTTTTTTTGAAATGGCGAAGAATAGAAGGAGATTTAGAAAGAAAACTATTTGTTTTTTCATCCCTCGAGGAAACGAAATTACGTGTGGTCTAAAATGCCCCTCGAATGATTTGCCTTCGGTAACTAAATTGACGAAATTACCCCTGAGGAATGTCGAAAGGTAGATTGAGGGGAAAATGGGCCCCACGCTTTTTCAAAATAACATGTGTATCTGTAACATTCCGATTTTATTCACTAGATTCTGCCATATTTAACAAAATCCCACAAATTTAGAATCTTAATTATGTTTAAGCTTTCCATATTCCACTCATTTTCGTTCACCTAAATAATATATTACCATATTCAAACCATACAAAAGTCTAAATAGAAACCAGCATACAAATAAAATCTACGATAACATATAAATTCGACATAAAATTACCATAGGTATAGTTTTTTTTTCCCTTCAAAAACTGTAACTCTAAATTTGAAAATAATCAAATTAAAATATCTATCTCTGATCAAATGGCAATAAAAAAAATGATACTACTTAGGTTAGTAGATTTTTTTACTAATCATATATTAACTCATTATATTGATAGATGAATATTCAAAAATTATATATTCAATTTTCTAATGCATTTGTCTTGCCTTATTTTGGAGTTGTATGGTATGTGTATGAGAAAGTAATCTTGTTAGAATATCAATCCATCGTAAAAATAAGGCTAAAAGAGAAAGTTCATTTGTCATTGTAATAAATCGTTTTTGTTTTGGAAAACTTGTGGAAAAAAATATTAACCTTGACAATGATTTATACGTGGGGAAATTATAAAGTTTTTAGTTTATAATCCGGAAAATTTCACGGAACATTCATTTCAACTACATCTTCCAGAATAATGAGAAATTATTATAAAATTAACTGAAATAATGTTTTTTTTTCTTTTACTCTGCCTTTGAACATTGAAAATTAGAAACTATGTATGAATTCAAGACAATGGGAATGGGAGTACAAAATTATGGACAATGGAGGAAAAAATCCAAAAGATCCAACTGCAAAAAAATTGATCGTTTTTGTTAATGCGTACAGAATTCATTTATCGAAACTCGTTTTATAATTGAATTGATATAATTTTTAAAAACTAAAACTTTTGAACCGGAAATTAAACTTTTGATGTTCATTTTTGTACCTGAAACTTATATTTATTAATTTATAGGATTTTTATGTACACTTTTGTCTTATTAAGGAATATTAAGAGGGTTGGGATTGGGATGTGACCACATGAACAGATTTTGATATTTAATATATAATGACTATGTAAATTGATGGATGATTTAAAAACGTGTTTAGATTTTTTTTTATAAAAAAAAACAGATGGAATTTTGGCTCCGATGTACGAAAACGTATAGAAAATCATATGTTTAGAGGGTGCATTTTTAACGATAATGACTAAATATACTGTTAAGGGATTAACGCAAACTGTAGGATTAAACTGCAACTAATTTTTCTTTTAAACTATTCATCCAAATTCTAAAGTGATGGATATTGAAAGAATTAATCATAGCTAATATATAGCTTCGATATTTAATGTAAATAGCTGTTTTCGCTTTGTAAATTCTAACCCAAAAATTAAAAATATTTATTGTCTGTGATTTATAAATTAAAATGTTAGTTTTGATAATTATACCCAAAACACTTGTTATTTTGTGAGGAAAATTTTACATTTTATTGATAGAAATTGGCACAAAAGTTCTTTCTGGCTAAATTTATTATTGTTTTGTTTGTTCAGATAGTTTCACTAAAACGATACAGTAAATAATGGAACAGTTATCCTTTTTGGTTTGTAGAATAAATGTGAAATGGCTTTTTGGGAATTTTGAGTAAATTTCAAAGTTTGACCAATCAAATCTATTTTTTTTTTAAACTCTTTTTTTTATGGCTAAAATAATTAGGTTGTGTTGAGCAACATGCAGTCGTTTATGTGGAAAAATACGATTCAAGAAAAAAAAAAAATATGATGTGTTTTTTTTTGGTCAAGTGATGTGTGTTTTTTTAAGTAAACGACAATCTACTTTCCAAAAATAGGACAAATCTTGTTTCTTAAATTAAAAGATAAAGTATACTAAAAACATGAAAACATAAAAGGAGATCATTTTAGTTTATATATATAGATATAATAAAAGTGTGAAATTAATAATATGTACTTATGTAGCATGTAGCACACATGTTATGTAGCTGTAAAATTAAGCTCGATCAATAAAATGAATATTAAGAAATTCGAAAAAAGTTAAATATTTTTAAAATAATCATTTTTTAATTTAATTGATTAAAATAGAATAAAATAACTATAATTTTTAAAACTAAAAGTCTAAAAAATATAACTGAACCAAATCCCACATATCCACTACAAACAGACGCTTCAAGCTGCATTTAATTCCCCAGCATTGAAGTGAGAATAATAAATATAAATATACAATCCAAAGCTAAAATCAAACCGAACCTAACCGGACTAAACCGGCGCGGAATATTCCCCGAGCAATGTGGTCTGAACTGCACATACGTACGCCTCACTAAAACCCTAATCTTCTCATCTGTCATTTCCGCTCGCTTTAATAGTTGTCTCCGCCACGCTCCAGTCTTCTCTCTCTCGCTCTTGCTCTTACGGAAGGAATTCAGAGCCTCTGGTAAGATCGATCTACGTGCTTTCTTCATCCTCCATCTCTTCATTACGTCATCGTCTGATTCGTTTCCTCGAAATGTGTGATTCACTGTTTGGTTGATATCTTCTTTGGTTCCAGATCTGAATTCAGAATCCGGAGTTCGTTTTTTCTCCGTTTGAGCAATGGCTTTGGTGAGTTCTCTCTTTCATGGTTTAATCACCAATTTTATTGTTTGTTTGCTTAATTATTCGTCATTCAATCATATTTTGGTTGATATGTTGTTTGTGTTCTGATAGATTCTTGCAGAGCAGCTTTCTAGAACCTGTTTTCCGATTGATCGTGTCAGGAGATTTATGATTTTGATTTATCTGCATGTTGGTTTAGTCGGTGAACGTTTTGATTTTCGTCTGATCTAGATTCTTGAGGTCTGTTGGTAGGATGTGTTATCTTTCCCTTTGATCTCGAGTGGCTATTTGCAATTCTTCGGTTCTCATTTGACATCCATTTCTTTCTGAAGAAGCTTGAGAATTGGATTTTCTGTTCTTTGGTTGCGGCTATACCTTCTGTAGTTTGCATGGTGCATGCGTTTAGGCTATATTGTCAGATTGGTTTTGTTCGATTTTTTTTCCAATGTGGATCCGGAATGCATCTTTCTCGATGATTGTCTGTGTAAGTCAATATTTTTTTCGCTTTATGTTTTGCTATTTATTTTATTCAGAGGTTCGGATAACCAATCTTTTGATATATGACTTACCGATAGATTTTTGTAATTTTGAATCTTGCTATTGTAGGTTCTGCACACTTACAAGGGTAACAAAGGTGCCAACAAGGCACTGATTGCCGCTGAGTACACCGGTGTGCAGATTGAGGTGCCCTCGGACTTTCAGATGGGCGTCACTAACAAATCCCCAGAATTCCTCAAGATGAACCCTATTGGAAAGGTAGGCAAACTCCCTCGCCAGAAGTTAATTCCTGAAAAAGCGTGCTTTCTTGAATTATGTTTGCCGGTATTTGTTATTGAGTAATTGCATTGATCTTGCTAGGTCCCCGTGCTTGAGACTCCCGAGGGTCCCATTTTTGAGAGCAATGCTATTGCTCGATATGGTATAATTATACTGTCTTCATTCTTCTTTTTGCCTTCTTTTTCATCATTTATATCTGATTAACTTACTTATGTTATTCGGATATAATGGATCTTTTGGTTTGCTACTGCAGTAAGTCGCTTGAAGGGTGACAATTCTTTGGTTGGATCTTCTCTCATTGAATATGTAAGAACCTACAGAATGTTTTTTCTTTTATTTTATTTGCACATTTGCTTTCGTTTTCACCCAAAAGTTTTGTATTCTAATTATCTACGCATATTTGGTAACTTTGCAGGCACAAATTGAGCAATGGATCGATTTTGCTTCAATGGAGGTTGATGTTAACATTTTGAGATGGTTCATTCCAAGGGTGGGCTATGCACCTTTTCTAGCTCCTGTAAGTATTTTTTAATTACGTTTATCGCTTTTATCATAATCATATTTGTGCCTGTTTTCTCCTCATCTTTTAAATGCTCTGTATCTGTGAAGGTTGAGGAAGCGACAATTGCTGCTCTGAAGAGAGCGTTTGATGTTCTGAACACCCACCTCTCTTCCAACACTTACCTTGTCGGGCATTCCATCACCCTTGCTGACATTGCCTTGGTCTGCAACATGAGCTTCGGAATCAGTACTCTCATGACGAAAAGCTTTACCTCTGCATTCCCTCATGTTGAGAGATACTACTGGACATTGGTTAACCAGCCGAACTTCAAGAAGGTGCTGGGTGACGTCAAGCAGGCTGAATCTGTTCCTCCTGTTCCTTCAAAGAAACCTGCTCAACCTGCTAAGCCCAAGGCCAAGGAAGAGCCAAAGAAAGAAGCCAAAAAGGAAGAGGCACCAAAGCCTGCTGCTGAAGAGGAAGAAGCCCCAAAACCCAAACCCAAGAACCCTCTCGACCTTCTTCCTCCAAGCAAAATGATTCTCGATGAGTGGAAGAGGCTTTACTCGAACACCAAGACCAACTTCCGTGAGGTTGCCATCAAAGGTGGGATTATTAATGTTTGTCTCTTTTTACGTGCTTTTGCAACCGTTCTGTTGGTGATGATGGCTTATTGCGTATAGTAATGATATGAACTGTGAAGTAGAGGTGGGCATCGGTATCTGATAGTCATGAGTATCATATTTTAATACCCGTACTCATACCCGAGGATATCAGTAATCCGACACAATATTCGGGTATTTGTCATCAATTTTTGATTTCCCGTACCTGTTGGATGGATAATAAAAGATAATTCCTTACCTGTGAAATGCCAGGTACTCGAAAATTCAAAATTGGGTACTTGTGTACTTGATTTTTGGGTATTTATTATGTTCACGCCTAATGAGAAGAGGTCTAACATGTGTAATCCATTTTTGTTGTGTGCTCAATGCAGGATTCTGGGACATGTATGACCCTGAGGGATACTCGTTGTGGTTCTGTGACTACAAATACAACGACGAGAACACTGTATCATTCGTGACACTTAACAAGGTCGGTGGATTCCTCCAGCGTATGGACTTGGTACGGAAATACGGATTCGGGAAGATGCTTGTTTGCGGGTCAGAGCCTCCGTTTAAGGTGAAGGGTTTGTGGCTCTTCCGTGGGCAAGAGATCCCGAAGTTTGTCATGGACGAGGTCTACGACATGGAGCTTTACGAGTGGAAGAAGGTCGATATCTCGGACGAGGCCCAGAAGGAGCGAGTGAGCCAAATGATCGAAGATGCCGAGCCTTTTGAGGGCGAGGCTCTCTTGGACGCTAAGTGCTTCAAGTGAGAGGTAAACTTATCAGAAAAAAATTTACGATTTTGGAGTCAGTGATTGTAATCTCTCTCGATAGAGGTTTGCTTTGTTACTTTTTTTGTGGTTTTTTTTTTCTAATCTGAGAACAAACTTGCTTTTAAGTTGTGTATTTTGGAGTTATTTATGGTATTATGACACAGCTGGGTAGCTATACATGTGGTGGTGTATAATGGATGATTCTCCGGTCTCATTTCATGGCTCGCTTTGGTTCTTCTGATATCTCCGGTTATGGATGACGCTTACGGTTAAATTTCCGGTTTAGATTGGTTATTGGTTTTGTTTCCGATTGAGATTATTGTATTTTTCAGTTCAAGTTCTTAGTTCCTCCTGAATAATTCGAAAAGAAGTGATAATAAGACGCCTCCTAACTTAGATTTTGGAGTTTTGACTGCTTAATATGTAAAGGTCGTGAACTATATACAAATATTTCGACCGGTTTTCTAACATTTGTATTTTGTTGCCTAAAAAGATTTATGGGAATACGACTACCAGTCTTTTGCAATTAATATATTTTACCGGGTCATTAATCGTTTATATGCAAAATGAATAATCCCTTTCTTAAACAGAAAAACCTGGAAATGTACAATGATCTGTGTTTTTTTTTCTAATAAAAAATATATTATATGTCTAATATTTTTGTAAAAAAATGTTTATTTTTCAACAAAAAATTGAAGTAATAATATTCATGACGCGTTGCGTCACGTTGCGGTAGTCGTAACTGCCGACGGAGAAACTGAAAGCTGCAAGTTACAAGTGCAGATAAAAGAAACAAATTATTTATAAAGTTTTGGGGTCAAATTGCAAACACTTGCATTTTTCTTTTCGCGCAAACGAAACATCCAAAAAACAATTCCCTGTGAGGATCTCTTCTTTTGCTCAGGAAGAAGATCGATCCTTCCTGCGTGCAAGCGAGAGAGAGAGAGATGAGAGGAGCCTTGGCATGTGGTCTTTCTTGGCGGCATCTGGTACTTTCCGCTTTGATTTTTCTGCAGTTCGTCTTAGGTTCGTCTTCATCAGATCTATCGCTTTTTTTTTTTCCTTGTCGTCTTGAATTTCGAATATCTCCTATTGATTTGGTAGAATCCGCAGATTTGATGGTCTTTTTTGGATATCTGTTCGGGCTTAGGTGTTGAATCCTTGAGATTTAGGTCGGATTTTAGCTGAATTTGGCTATTTGAATATATCATTCGTCTTCATAAGGTTGCATGCTTAGGTATTTCACAATCAGAAGGTTTACGGATGAAGATCTGCTGTCCAAAGTCTGGAGACTGTATCCTATGTTACTTAGGTATTAAAGGGAGGAAGAGAGGTCTGCCTTCCTCCGTTAAGCTACCATAGGAACTAAGATCCTAGGCAAAACAGATTTCACTCAAGTAATTTGATGTTCAACATGATGAAGAACAAATTAGAAAAAAAAAAAAAAGAGTTTATGTTGGCCTGCTCGGGCTTGTTGATCTTTGGTTTTGCAATCTCACTTTTTTTATGGGTTTCGAATTGTACAGTGAGGTCCAGGTTTCTTCCATTATGTCCATCAGGATTGATTTTTGCTTCTTTGATGTGAATGCCAAGCCTTGCCGCGATAAAAGATTGGTGAAACGGGTTTGAAGAAATCATACGAAAAATCTATTGGTTTTGGGCAAGGGCTTAGTGGAGTGTCTGAAAGTACCATTAAATCCCGAGGAGACTTCATGTTATTCCAATAATGAATATTGATATTTTCAGGAAATTCTGATGATTCCAAGAGTTCGAGTACTGTAGCAAAGGCTGAATCTCGCACTTCTTCGAGCAAAACAGGGACAAAGGTGATCCTGGTGCTGATCGGAATCACCGCTGTAGTGTTGTTTTCGTTCTTCCTGTATAAGCTGTGGCAGAAGAAGAAAAGAGATGAGCAGTATGCTCGTCTTTTGAAGTTGTTTGAAGAGGATGATGAACTGGAAGTTGAATTGGGCCTCCGTGATTGAGAACACCTATCTGTAAGACTCTAATCATGGAAGCAACAATGCCCTGAGGTACGTCCTCTTGTATGTTTTCGTTTCAGATTTTTATTTGAGATCAGATAGATACGACTCCTAGGGCTTTTTTTCTGTGATTTCTGACAGTGGAAACCAGAGGAAAATGTCTGCAAAGATGCAAACTTTTACCATACCTGCCTGCATTTTAGGACATGAAACTTTCAGAATTATGATTTTCACCGAGGTGTTTATAGTAGGATTGCTAATTCTAGGATAATAATGGATGGACATTTCGGGTTACGATTTGGTTACTTTCCTTTCTAGAAAAACTAGACTCATTCAGTTTTTAAATTGGATTCAATTTTCGTTTGGGTTTGGTTGGAACTGGGTTTTTATATATAAAAATATCCTATTTAAAAAGATTTTCGTGTCGTAATCGGATTTCGTTCAGGTTTTTCGACCTTAGAAAAATTATACATTTGGTATATCAGATTTGATTTAAAGACGATTATGAATAATTGCAAACCGAAATTGGCCACTCCTCCTAGATATAATATCAGTTCGACTCCTGAGTTTTTTTTTAGACAGTAAGAGTAAGTCTCATTTTTATGTAACATTTTTCTAGGTGGAATTTCCTTCTCGGTGGTTGGTGAGACGTATAGCCGGATCCTGCTTTTGGATCATAATAATAGTATTCTCTCTCTAAAAATATACCTTTCTTGTTGAGTCTCAAACCCATCATTCTTCTATCCAATTTTGTAACCGAGTACTATTTTTTTTTCCATCTTGTGTTTGTTTGTTGTAAAATCAGAACATTTGTTTCCTTTTGTCGCATTTTTTTTTTGGGTTTCCTTCCTAAAATTAAGACATCAAAGAAAGAAAGAGAGAGAGAGAGAGTAGCAGTCTTAACGCGTTTGGTGTGGAAAGCAGAAAGAAAGGCAAGGAGTGAGACGAGGGCTTTCTTCCGGAAGGGAGCCATTGATAGCAGCTAGCTCCATCAGTTGTTAACTGGGACTTTTGTTCATATTTATTTATTTTCTTCGATACACAAGAAAATTCAAGTCATTTTTTCTTTCAATATATTATAAATATGTGTAAAATATTTATTAGTTTATGATTTAAAATTTGTGATATGTGTAAAACAAAAAATATAAATAATTTGTAAGATATAAAAATGATTCCATTAATATATCATATTTGTATGCGTAGATAATGATGTTTTTTGCATTTTCCGCTCTTTCCAGATTTCGTCCTTTTTTATATGAGCGCCCGCCTTCGTTGATATCAGAATTGTCCATTAATTTAAAGTATCAAATTTTTTAAAACAAAATATATCAAATTCTTACATATTGCAGTTGCTTGGCTAGTTGAAGAGTTTAAGAAAGGGACAATTTCGTTTAGAACCCTCAATTTTTAATTAAAAAACGAAGGAATCCTAACGTTTTCTTTTGAATCATATTGAACCCTAATACATTAACTTCTGTTATTTTGGAGTTTGGGATGTGGGGATTTCAGAAGAACCCATGATAAAATAATTACTAGATCGATAGACAAAAACATTATAACCACAAGAGAAATGTGGAATGGATTTACGTGGGTTTGAATTGATAATTAGCAAATGTTGAATCTATGCATTGAGTTGAGTAACGGAGGCTCAACCAAAATTATATGCATTATTGTTTCATGAGTTTTGATTTGTAATACATCTGTCACCACCAACACTTATTTTTGTTTTTGTTTTTTTGATAGATTTTAGTTAAGTGAGTTATCTTATTAGTGATGAAATTCGAAAATATTATTTTTTTCGTGTTTCATTTACTATTTTATTCCTACTTTCTTTATACATGGTCCATCTTTTGTATTACTCTTAAAAATTGTGATTCTGACAATTTTCTTTTCTTTCCTGTTTTAACAAATATATCATGAAATTTGAAACAAGATCATATTTGTAAGTAAATATTATAACAAAAGCTCTAATCAAGGTTAAAGAAAAAATGATGTATTGTTGTTCTATTTCGTCTCATTCTTGCTATAGGTGGTTAAATAGGGGCATTGTAAAAAATATTCTTACTTTGTTATTTTGATTTAACACATACTCTTTTTCAATTGTGATCCGAAATATAGTGTCATAGCGTTAAATTTATAATATTTTAATCAAATGATTAGTGAACATAATTAATTAGTGTGATCACCTTAAATTTAATATTATAATCAATAAAATCAAAATATGACCATACTATATTTTGAGTCACATAAATTATGTAGTCACAGTTGGAGGAATGTATTTGTTGAAATCAAAATAGTAAAGTAAGGGTATTTTTGATATAATACCGGTTAAACATGCACGACAAAAATAAGAGGGGGTTTCTTGTTAGTTTATGAAGCATTAGAGCTTATTTTGATGCCAAGAAAAAAGTTTGAAGCTGTGTCATGATGGTTACTTGTCTCTTGGCGAAAGGGGTGTGGTGGTGGTGGAAATAAATGCACAAATGTTTTTTTTTGGTAAAAAATAAATGTTTTTTTGGTAAAAATAAATAAAAAAATGTTTCTATATATATGCGAGCAACCCCGCCGGGAATTTAGCCATCACTTCCATCGAACAAAATCACGAAGAGATGGGGGCCTTCTCTCGCCATCTCGCTCCCCCTCCGCCACAGCAACAGCAGCATGAGGTTTTCATCAGTTACCGCGGAGAGGAGCTACGGTATGGCTTCCTCAGCCACCTCGTCGATGCCTTTCGCCGTCGTCGAATCAGATTCTTCGTCGACAAAGGCGCACGAAGAGGTGAGGATCTGAGAAACTTGTTTGTGAGGATCCAAGAGTCGAGAATCGCATTGGCCGTCTTCTCCACGAGGTATCCAGAATCAGAATGGTGCTTGGACGAGCTCGTGAAGATCGACGAATGCGTGAAGATGGGGAACTTGAGGGTGATTCCAATCTTCTTCAAGGTGAAACCAGATGACGTGAGAAGACAGGAGGGGGATTTCGGTGAAAACTTCTGGAAACTCGCCAAGAATTCTCGAGGTGAACAGATCATGAGATGGAAAGATGCTTTGGAGTCTGTCTCCGACAAGATGGGCTTAGCCTTCGACGGCAAGAGGTACTGTTCTGAGAGCTTAAACCCCCCAAATCTGTTCTGTCTGAAACTTTTCCTCATAATCTCTCACAGACATATGGTCAAACACTTGATAGACACAGCATATTTGTGAGCGACTTCTTCTCCATTGCTCTCAAGAGTTTTTCACACCTCTCCAATGGAGGAATTACTACCAACACATTGATGGAGGAGGAACCCTCTCCCAAACCTTTCTGATCTACCAATCTGAGAATAAATCTTTCCCTCGTAAACCCTCAAGTGGAACCGATGTTTCTCATGCCACCCAGATTCCTCTCAGTGAAAGAGAGAAGCAAACATGAGATGCTCTGTTTCTGATACCTCTCAAAAGCACATACCATAACTTTTAACTGAACAAGAGAGTTGTCACATGTTAACTAACTGTAATAACGGTATAGCCTTCTCAACTCTGCCCCACCCTCTTAACACTCTTTTCTTTTCTTCCTTTCATCATATTATTGATGTGGTAGACAATCTAACTTAGATCCATATTTAAACTTTTGATCTTCTTTGTTTCCGTTTCATGGTGATTTCTATGACTTGGGCTAGAGAGCCGGTTTTTGTGAAGTCTAAAGGGACTGTCATTTGGCTATTCTCACTGGTTTGGCAGCTACGAGTCCGAATTTATCAAGGAAATCGTTACGGAGATCGAGAGAGTACTAACTGCGATCCCATCCGGGCAAAAAGGATATCATTCTTACAATCATATCCAAAAGAGAAGGAGAAATGCCCCTTATGCCTTGTATCAGTCTCCTCACTGGCAAAGAACAAAATCCAGGAAATTCTGGTGACAATATGTATTCCATGGATACCCATGATCATAGTATCTTTACCGACAAGATGCGTCTGTTGTTAACTCTTTGCATGTTCTGGTGCTTTCCTTTGAGGTATGATTGTTTACAAAAGAAGTGATTGCTCCGTCTTTCTAGGAAGTGTCTTCCAATAGGTGGTGGTGAATCCTGTAATGTTCTGGTTTTTTTTCTGGGCAGAAGTTAAATAACAAATATGTAACAGTTTGATGGAAGTAGTGAGATTTCTTTGTTCTGTTAATGAGATCAAGTCTCCTGCTTTTGTTTATAGCCACATTGTTCTTATGAGAAATCATATACAGTTAATTGATAGTCGCCCTTAGATGATATCTTTGAATCCCATCTCCGGAAGAAGCTTATTCTTCAACTCCGGAAGATTTGTTAGGTTTGGTGATTATCATTTATCAGTATTAAATATAATAAAAAAATTATATTGGGCCATGGATACACGTACCTGTCGCACAAAGATTAAAGTTATTAGATAGGGACATTTTCGTTTAGATTCCTTAATATTTATGTATTCTATTATCTATAAGACTATAACTAGAAAACTAATTTAATTGATACAAGAACCTCTGTGGTACATAATTTTGGTTTTAGTCCATGCAATTATATACATGTTTATAGTATGTGGATATACACGCAATCATATACATACGAAATCGTTTATGTAATCAAAGATGGGTGGTAGAACGGTAAGATGAAAAAGTATAAAAATGTTCCACCCGAGTTCAAACCCTATCTTAGTAAACATTTATAAAAAATATATATATATATATATTTGTGTGTATAAATTAATCATGTAAGGAATACATGTATATGTATAGAGTTGTTTCAAATACCTCCGGGCTTCGTGATCTTATACAAAATATTTTTTTATTTTTTTATTATAAAAATATTAAATTAAAATTTTAAAATATTTAAATATAAATTTATTATAAATATTCATAAAATATTTAATAGTTTAATATTTAAATTTTGTGATATGTGTAAAATAAAAAATATAAATAAATGGTAAGATATATAAATGATTTCATATAATAAACTTGAGAAAAGATGAGTATAATATTATGTTAGGTAGATTTATAAAAAAATATTTTCATTTATATTAAATAATAAATCTAATATTATAAAGATAAAAAATAATTAAAATGGTAATTATTAATGATAATAATTATAAAACTGTATTTACAATTAATTTTAATTAATTGTTAAATATTATATTAATATATCATTACAAAATCAATATTTAAAAATTAAATTGTTTAAAAATGTTATCTATCAAATTACGGAGTCCATGCTATTTTACGGCTTTGTATGTAAAAGTGTTTACACGGTTAAGTGTATAATATGTATATGAATACCGGATGTACGTATAAACGTGTATACATGGGTATATAATATGTACATATGTTTTTGCATTTTTTGTTTTTTCCAGATGATTTTTTTATATAGTAAGACCCATTAAAAATTCTGAATTTATAAAATAGTGGAAAATAATTTTTAAACTTTTCACTTAATAAATTTATTTCTAAACTTATAAAATATATCATTATAATTTTAAAAATTTGAAAATATGTTATTATAATTTTCAAAGTGATTGATGAATCAATATTGTGGAGATTTTTTTTATACCAATTAATAAATTTAGGAATTATAATAATATATTTTATAAGTTTGAAATTATAAATGATATATTTTGTAAATTTAAAAATTAATTTGTTAAAAGAAATTTAGAAATTTATTTTTCATTATTTGACTGAATTAAAATTTTAATGGTATCACACTTTTTGGGGGAAATAGCTACAATACCCTTTAACTGCTACGACCACTTCTACTCATACTCTTCAAACAAAAAATTAAACAAAAAAGTAGATTTAGCATGTCAAAAGACAATGAAACCCCCACAAAATAATGTAAAGACAAAAAACTCATTTTTTCTCAATTTAAAAAATTCAAAAATAAAATAAAAAAATAGAACTTTATCATCGAGACTCTCTTCCGA